ACCATTTATTTAGTACTAGCGTCCCGCCCCGGCTTCGTTTGGGTGCGAGGCTGGTTCTAAAGATACTACAGAATAATTGTGAACGTTGTATATAAAAACCGTCCTCTTCAATTACTCTATCTATTAAAAAAAAAACGCATCAAAATCACTTGCGTAGTTGTAAAGATTTAGGCGTAGGGACAGAAAAAGCGACTATGTTTTATGCTATATAGGAGTTTTGTTCGAAAAGCTGTAATGAACTACGGACAAACCCACGACAATTAACCCTCACATAAGAATGAGCTAACATGGCTCTCAACTCTGCTATTAACTTAATTAACGCAAATATACCTGTACGTTTTATTGTCTCTTCACAGGCAATGGCCCAATTAATAAATGTACATAATTCATGAAGCCTTATTGATATACGGAAGAAAAAATGCAAAACCGCCTATAAATATGCAAATCGCACTGTACAGTGTTTTGTGACAATATCTAGGGCATCCGTTGCGGAGTTGATAAGCCTGCAACTTTATTTCAAACAGCGATACCATATATACGAATAAAATGTTGACGTTTCTTTGTTTAATTTAGTTGCAATAAAAAACAACAAAGAACAGATCGGTTTGTTAATTTTATTTAATTCATAGTAAAGAGAAAAAGGAAAAATGTTTATAAAATACTTAGACCTATTTTTATGAGGTTATATTATAGATAGCAATTATTTTCAAAATATTATGTCTTCACATTCAATTAAAACAGTTTAACGGTTTAAAACGCGATATATATTGGGTAAACTTATTTTAAAGGTCTGTGACCACGCCTGCTGCAAAGCATTGGAAACGTCTGGCCGTAGTTAAAAAAAAGTTTTACAAATATATATCGTGGTTTAACTAAAATGTAAACTAAAATGTAGTTATAATAAGTATATTCTATCTATATTATATTTTATATCACATAGTTGTTTAACGTATTCATTTCTTAAATTTAGAACAATTACGATTATGTCTAGATTACGTAACCAATCAATGCGCATTTCACTTTGTAATAAACAAGTGAATTTATCACTCAAATGTTTTAGAAAGTGGCAATATTCAGGAAGGCCGGGCCAATTAAATGGTAATGATTGATTTTAACACGCAAGCAGTAAGTATATCAGAATATTTAGCTGTTTGGAAACTGCGAGCCGAGAAGAAGCGGTTACGAAATCGGTACTCACGTAAGGTCACGGGTTACATGCAACCACGTTAACAAGTATCTTAAATATATTGAAATAGACATTCCACAGATGTTGATTCTAGAAGCATTTATATTTTTGAATTAAGAATATACCTGTGTCGGCGTGCTGTTCCACTCCTATACGTCAATTTTGCTTAGGCAGTGATTTGTAAGTAACGACTCCTTTATTACAGAATAGGCAATATAAAATACCTGTAAATGGGTGGTAGGAATATCGAAATTCCGTCCGGGTCACGAACCCCCGTCCGCAGATGAAAAAGCCGTGAGGTTTAATATAAAAAATTACTCAGTTTTTGAGCTGTGCAGTCATCGTGGTGGATGGCATCAGGAGATATTGAACCGAACAAGTCAGGTAACGCTACCATCTAACTATATTGAGGCCTCATAGAACCTTCATTCATTTCACTCCAAGTCCAACACCAAAACTAAGTTATTTAAATTCAAGAGCTTTCAAAACGAATAATTACAAAGTTAACGTACCTATACTACGAGGATCATACAATAAAATGTTTGAATGTGTGCGTGTTACGTCTACTTAAATGAAATATGTTTTAAGTACTAAGGGGTGTTGGGGTCGGCTAAAAAGGTTGCTTTTAATATGTACTCGAGTAAATTAATCGAGCCTTGAACCCAGCATGAATCTGCAGTCGAGTGCTTTTCCCGGAATCTTTTGAAATAAAACTACCCTCTTTTGCAATTATGAATTCTCTTAGTAAATATTCATGTATACATTACTTTCATATTTTTTTCTGGACAGTTCATGTTAGAAGTTTTTCAAAGAATAGATAAAAGCGACGATACTCGAACCCGCGACGGACCTTAATCATTCTAGATTTATTTCTATCGATGTCATATTTTTTAATACTACCTGCATCATGATATATTAAAAAAGGTGTTTAGTATTCAAAATGAGGTCTACGACAGCGGACGTGCGTCGTGTGCCACGCTCGGTGTCTTGATGGTAATGCAAAAACCATCATGAATACTAAATAGAACGGAGAATGTATAGCACGATTTTAAATATATAGCATAAAATTAATATGCAAATATTATTTACTAATAAACATGCTTATTTATCTTAATTTTCAATAGTATAAGAAACAAAATTAACTCTAGGTGCGTACCTAACTATGCTCTTTGATTCTGTCGTTCTTATATTGATTTTGGGTATCATAGAACATAATACACTAAAATATACTTCTTAACGTATATACTGTCTATAGTTTACGCGAGTAATACACATTTAAATAAAACACTTTAACAGTTTAAAACGCGATATATTAGTTAAACTTATTTGAAAATGATTTTTAACTTCGGCCCGACGTTTCGGATGCTTTGCAGCAGCCGTCTCCCCGTGACCAGGGCTGCTGCAAGCGTTTCGATTTCAGTCTGTGGATTTTGGAATATCCAAATCGAAAATTATTAAGTGAGCCTCACGCGTGTCTGTTTCCTCAAGCATAACCAACAACGACTTTATAATATTACTTTGTTAAGGAGACATTTGCTCTCATTCGAAGTGTGTACATGCTTAAGGAAAGCCAACAGAAAAATATGATGTACAATTTTAATATATGCAAAACCGTCATGTGAAAATTTAAGAGGAATGTATTTCGCGTTTAAAACCATTTTAATCGCGTAAACTACACACAATATTTAAGTTATAGCACTTAGTATTCATTAAAACAAGTTTCGTTTTTTTCATACGTTTTAGTAATAGTGTAATTGTCTTCTCCTTATATAATATGAGACTGATTTGGAGATGCGGGTAGAATAATTTGCATAGTGCTGTATGTGGGTTATTGAATATTCGGCAAGGTGGATATAGTACAAGGTGGTCGAACATCTGCTGTAACATGTGTTCAGCGAGCGAATCACAGACAAATCAGTTCTTGCACCTGCTGTTTGTGTAGTTTCTCTCTTAAAACATTTTGTATGTATGCAAGTCACCATGTAGTAAAATACTACTTCCCTGTGTAGATCAAATTTAGCCTTTAAAACAAATAAAAAAATACAAACAAGCACGTTTTAAATGAGCTCGTTATCGATACAAATTAACTTACGATATGTCAATAATAATTAACCTAAGTAAAGACTATTGATTCGTTTATGACATACTATAAAACGGTTTAAAACGAAAATATTATATAGGAGATTACTTAAAATTTTGTTTATTTCGCGTTTTTGAAAGTCTAACTATATATATATATATATTTTTATATATTTAATATATATTTAACATTATATGGTTTTAGTGCATTATTAAATGTGTATTATTTAGGGAAACCATAGACAATACAGAAGACCTTGAATTTTTAAAATGACAGTAAGTAATAATTTGGGCATTGAACTAAATACTTCTAAATACATATTTTAACTCTAGACCGTTAACTATAACACTGGCGTCAAAGAAAGTTCACAGTTCTCGGAATATTGACAAGAAAAAAAACATTGTTCTCGTCAGTAAAGTAGGTTAACTGCACTTACTTTAAAGGTACGAATGAAAGATCACGTGTTTGCAAATTGTTCGATTTATAAGTTTCCCGGCATCCTGGCATATAGGTCGGCTGGACCGCTTCCAAAATATTTCGCTTGACACGACCGAATGAACCTTTGTTTATTTACGCGACAGCAAAATATACAAATGATATTTAATCTGTGTGTAATAAAAAAAAAACTCTAGGTGGCCACGATCGAATGGGAAAAAATGAAAATGTTTTATAAAAAATAATTAGGTATTTTTAAAATATGACAAACAAGAGACCAATATTTATAGTATACCTAGTATAAGTAATAATCTACGAACGATACAATTTCAATCATAATAAATTGACTAAATATATACTCGTTAGTTCCCATGGTATAACGAGCATGAATTATAAAAGAAAGGTTTTCATTTTTACTTTATCTTCACAAAACAATGGCGAGAGTCGGACAATTGTGTTTGAAGCTCTCTCGGTTGTTACAAACGAGCTCTTTGAAGAAAACTTGACGAGAAATGCTCTAGTGTTCTTTACATAGGTTTTCTATCTGTGGTTCTACACATAGGACCTTTCACGTTTCTACATTAGAAACTTAAGATTACGTTTACATATATTATTAGACCTAGTGTATAATTGCATACACAATAAAAGTTTTATTATTTACGAGGCTTGATACAAAATTGTTAGTACTGTAATACCTATATTTACGTTTTGGTTGATTAATGTAACCAATCTTATTTAGATCGTTTTTACATGGATAAAGAATATACCCAGAAATAGGAACTGAAAGAAGCGGTTTTTAGTTTCAGTAAATGGTTAATAAAACATTTTAATGGCTTAATATGAAAAGCACTCCTACGTTCCCGAAGATGAAAAAAATTCAAGCGCAATTCATTAGTTACGATCTGTCCCTATAGCCCAGTCATAATAAAAACAATGTTATAATTTCGTAATAAGGTCATATTAATTTCCAACACGTACTGATAACTGTGAAACGAATGTAGGTAATTGGGTACAACGTTGACTCAAATCTGTCGTTGAGATTGGTCGAGTGCGACATTTTGAACTCGAAATGGGAACAAAGCAGGGTGGGACGATGCGTCATGCCACCCCTTACCAACTGGGGTGGGCACGATCGATTCCACCACCGAATGCCATGCGCAGAAACCGCCCTTATGTTTATAACACAATTTTCATAAGAATAACTTATGTTTAAAGAAAGGATGCTGATAAGATTTCTGTTTACTAATATGACTAAAGCATGATATCACTTGATTTTCTAAAGAAATAATGTGTACTCACTGGCACTCGTTCATTATTTCCTCCTGAGATCGAACCTGCACCGGCGCAAGCTTTTCCACGCTTTCTTCGTAGTTGCCGAAGCACTTGGTGATTTTCTCATCGAACGTATTCACCAGATCCTCCAGTGAGCCGGAGAAAGTCTCCGTGAAATTATCCCCCTCACCGTTTTGCATAGTATCCTGTTTACACTTCACCGGTTTCGGTTCGTCATTATCGTTTATTTTGTTGGAGTCAGTTTTCATTTTGACTATTTCACTTTTAAGATTCTTGATATTGTTCAGCCGGATATCGTTGCCGTTTATGGTCTTTTGAAAGTCTGCTGTTGATAGACAATCGTCCGCATCTTCGATTTGGGCAAGCGGCGCCTCAAATTCGAGTTCGGCCATCCTATTAGCCGAATCTCGCATGACCGAGATATATACGTCCACCCGCGCAGTTTGCCGCGCGAATACTGAAGTCTGAATTTGATAAGCCGTATTCCGTAACCGTAAGCGGGCAGCGGTTCGCGGTTTGTGTTGAGGGATAGAGTATACTTTTATAGTTTATCTTTCCGCGACTGGTCAAACAGGTAAACAAAATCCCAGATTTCAAGCTGAAATGTTAATTACATTAGTTGTGGTCACGTATTGCGCAGTTTTATTAACATTTTTATTAGTAATGAATTTGTGTTGCCTCTGTAACGAAAGATACTAAAACCAAAACATTATTTTTTCAATAAAGTAATATTAAAAACGCAATTATTTCCCTTATCCTATATATTTGTTTAATCAGTTTTTTTTTTTTCACTTGACTTGGATAGATTTCATTATACTTTGTCTATAAACCTAATATAATCTGTATCTTGTTTCGTCAATGGTCAAACTGTTAACTAATATTGACAGCTGACAAGTGAAATTCTTGACTCGTAAGATTCCTTTCCTTCAAAATTGTGGAAATTGCCAAAATAACAACAAAAATGGTTTAGTTTCTTTTTGGATTTACAAAATCGTTATGTATTTTTTAAAACGTAATTGCCATATCAAATCAATATGTTCAGTCGTACGACTATGCAGGTAATCTTTCAGCTTTCTTCATTATATTTGACTAATATATTTGATCATTACAAACCCAAAATTATTTTTAGTCAAAGCAGAAAAACGCATTACGAAGTTCTTAAATTACGTAAAAACTGCACGGATAAGGAAATAAAAGATGCATTCATTCAAATGAGCAAAGAGGTAGGTAGTGCTTACTGAGAAATTTTTTAGCTTTCTCCTGTGAGGCAAGTATCTCTTTTTATATTCATACTCATTACTATTTTACAATTTTTTCTGTTATTATAAATATTTTCTTTCTTTTTTCAGTACCATCCTGATAAAAACAAAGATGTAAAGGCACAAGAAAAGTTTGTCAAAATCGTTGAGGCATACAATATTTTAAGTAAGCCGAGCAGTAGAGCTCAATATGACCATGTTATGGACCTTGGTGCAAAAAATACTTCATATGTTTATAAAACACATACACCATATAAGTAAGTAACTGTTAATTAATTTAAAAAGTATGTGTGGAACGCAGCATTCTCTTAAAATTTAGCTGGTACACACTCAAATCAATCCTATATAAACACCAAGCCCTGAATTTCTCAGACAGATTGGTAGTGTAGACATGCATTGCTTACATTGAATTCAAATTTGGCAAAGTAAATACAAAAAACCTGTGAGCCCAATAAATAAAAAAAAATAAGTTTTGTATACTATTTCAGTAATAAACACTGGCCTATCAGTAGAAAGAGTCACCTCTGTGCATATAATATAAAAAACAGATAATTATAGTTTAAGGTGACCTTGGTTGCTTATTGTGAAGATAGAAAGCAACAGTTAATGTACTAATAACTTTTACATTCTCATGAAGTGTCAAAAATATAGTCAATAACAACAGTTAATACTTGCATCTTAAAAAAATTATCTTACTTTTCTTGTACTATTTTGTAGAGAATTATTTACAAAATTTAACATTTTTTTTTACTATGGAGCTTTTAGTTTTATGCACACAATTTTTTTTGCATTAAATAGGGTAGCCAAGCTGAATTGGTAAATGTATTCTCACATTATACATTACCATTTCAGCTTGGAAGAGATCGCACTTAAAATAAAAGCCAATTAAAATGTTGACTAATTCTGTATAATTTTCAGCTTAAGAAGGAATCCAGCATATAATTTTTACGATCCACCAAAAGCAAAGAGCACTGAAAATAAATCCGATTACTATGGAGTTAAAGGTGTTAAAAAACTACCAAATGTCACGATAATATTTCTATGTTTTTCTGTGGCATTGGTAGGAGTAATATTACAAATGATTGTTATTAGGTAAGCATCAAGTAGAATCTTTGTCGAATTTACTTACAGATTTTTCTTGTTTCCAGTTTCCGCGGGTAGTAAACACAATTTATTTAAAGAATTAAAAAAAAAAAAAAAAAAAAATCTTTTTAAAACTCTTTTAAGCTCTGATACTTTCTTTTCCTATCATGTATTTTCTATGACTAGATACTATCTATATTTCAGAGAGACATATTTGATAAATCGTAAAAGAACTCAAGAGAAGTCAATAATATTGGCAGAGGAACTGGAAAAAGTTAGAGCAAATGCTGAAGGAAAGACAAATAGAGTAAGTAAAATATTTTCTCTGAAAGTTAGGCCAGTTTGATTTAATTATTTTATACCTACAATAATACAAAATTTATATAAAACATTTGTTAACTAACTTCACACTTCGTTTCGCGGTCCGTTGACGTCCCGTACTAATGACTGTTGACGTCAATTTTTCAATATTATAGAGATTTTTTTTTCAATATTTGTAATCGAAATTTGCTCAATACTTTTAGTGTTTTTGAGGAATACACTTACATACTGCTTATATACCCTTATAGCTCTGCATTTTGAAATATAATTAATTAGCTTCATAGCTATCATACATAATAATTACCTGTTTTTGTAAGTATTTTAAATGTATTTTTTGAATTATAGGGATATTGTTTTTATTAATTTTACTGATTTATTTTTTGTTTCACAGATGCAAACACAAGCCATCTTAGACAAAATCGTAAGTTCCTCAAACCCTACTGTTGCAACTGCATCGCTGGGTCAAGCATTGGCAAACGAGAAAAATAAATGAATTAATAAGAACTATCCAGTCGAATAAATTATGCTTAGTCGAAATTGAATTCAGATAATATTTTTATACAAGTAAAATATATATTGTAAATAGACACGTGAACAAAGTTGTTGTAGAAAAAATACATAAAGATTTTGTGGTAACTACCTCAATTTATTTTTGTAAATATTTAAGCAATTATGTAAATAAAGATGTTGAAACTAAAATAATTTTTCGGAGTTTAAATAAGTTTAAATAATTTTTAATGTAAAATCAATCATGTATATTTAACATGTAAATGCAACAATTTGCCTCACACTTGCGCAAGTAATGTGATGGAGAGGCACCGAAAGGATCTTTCCACTTTTCTGATATTTAAAACAGTTCTTTTATGAATACCCTGTCGTATTCATGGGGTAGATCTGGTATAATCATGTTTATATCGGAGTAAGCTCGCTTGTAAATGCATGTAAAGCCCAGTTTTTCTGCTGACTTCGCCGAGAAGGCACTTGAAGTGTCAATACGAAGTAACCGCAGACCAATTTCCTTCGCTGCTTTTCTGAAAAAAAAAACAAAGAACTTTAGCGAACAGGATACGGTAGCTCGAAACGTCTAAGATCGTAATAGTACGAAACGCTGTGGTTGTCGGTTGAAGTCCTGACAAAGTACAAAAAATGTTGCGACAGCATGTGAAATATAATATAGAAAGTATCAAAGTTCTTTAATGGAATTATGGATTTTAGATGTTAATTCGCTACAAAAATTTAAAAGAGCTTAACAAAAATAAGCAATAACGCAGGCATGAGACCCCCTTCGCCCAACTTTCAGTTAAGCATGAGAGGTCCCGGGTTAAGATCCGATTTTTTAATGACAGAGGAGGGCAAACAAGCATGAGCTTCACTTAATTGGGAGATAAAAAAACTCTATGTACTCAAGATGCGCTGTCGACTTATTTTGACTTTGGCTTTTTATATTCGGAAATCCACAGACTGAAACCGAAACGCGATTAAACTTCACGGCTTTTTCATCGGTGGTTCGTGACCCGGACGGAATTTTCGATATTCCTACCACCTATTTAATGTCCCGATTTCCAGACGAAGTCCAACATGTTTCAGAAATATTATAAATTGTAAAATTGGAAACATTGGAGCCGGTGGGGACCGAACCCACGACCCGTTGATTATTACACAGTGCTACCGTTAGACCAACAATTAATTGCTTCCCTTTGTATCTTCTGAGATATACTTCTATTACAATAACTTACTCTGTTTCTACCATTAGTTTATTCATGACTCCCTTCTTCCTCCAATTCTCATCTGTAGCTGCTAATTTCACCTCAAATAGTTCCTTTTCATCAGGATACTTAGCGCCCACGTTTGCCCCCTTCTCCCTAATGTCCAACATTTCTAAAATCGTCTTGAATTTGGGACTTGAGCAGTTTTCTATCAAGGTAGCGTAGTCTATTGGCTGGAATTATGAATTAATATGTATATACTGATAGGCATATATAACATCTTATAATATCTGTGTATGGTGTAGAACTTTGATTGTAACGTCTGTTTGGGATTACAAAAATTTACATAACCAAATAGTCGCTCCGACCGAGGCCTTATTACATTCATGAGTAGGTTTGAATCTTTAATGACGCGGCAAAAGCAGAGATTTAATTACAATAAATAAAAATAAAAGTATGTATATCTAGAATCTGTTATCCGCTTTATTGCTACATACAGCGAAGATGACTCGCGCGCCTCTAGTATATTAGCATATTACGAAACTGTGTAAGAACCACACTCTTTCAGAATTAAATGTATTACATAAAAAACTGTGGTTCACAAAAACACAAAATTCGGCGCGTTCCTCAATTTCTAAAAGAATTTCTCTTAGAGAAACCCCAAGCTCAAGAAATTAAATCAATTGGTCGAGAAAATATCGCCTATTGATGCGTTATTGATTAATAATTAAATTGAGCATGAATCTTAATACTTAAGTTTAAAGATGTCAAAGTGTCTTTCTTAGACAGTTTCACAGTTTTGACACTTGAGGCGCTAGTGAGAATCTTTGCCTCGCCAATTGTTATTTTTTACTACTCTGTCATTTTAGATCAATCTATATTTTAAACGCTAGATTTTAATATGACAAATCAGCAAAATCACTGCCCTTAGTATTTGTACAGACTTACGTTATTGACAGCGCTGATTCCATTGATAAGCACTCCAATAATATTGCCGTCCTGGTCAACTGCTTTGAATGATGTACCAGGTAAGCAGTACCTGCAGTAGTTATCTAAATCAGGGCAGTCGTCGTCTTCTGAATTACAATAAGCGATTTTTCTATTCAGCGGCTCATGGATGAAGAACGTTCTGGAAGAAAAAGGTTTACAATTTTACCAAAGTTTTATGGAAGTTATAATCACATTAAATAAACCCCACTTTGACGATTAGTAGGGTAACTAATATTTGAGTTCTATTAATACCAAAAAGGTTTTCAATTTCTTCTTATAGTTTAAACGGGAGTTAAAGAACTACGACCCCACATAGCAGTACTTCCTTTTTTTTCATTTTAAAAATATCGGATCGTAGTTTGAAAACAGGTCGTCCGAAGTACCGGTTGAATCAGACGAAACTTTTGAGATAGTAAATTAAGCTTAAAGCTACAAAAAGCATTAAAGTCCTTTCTCAGGCTCTGAAATTACTGTACCAAATTTCATTTAAACCAGTTCAGTGGGGAGTTAAAGCAGGACAGACAGACAGCCAGAGTTACTTTCGCATTTATAATATCAGTATAGTATAAGTATATATCTTTATCTTACTTTTAAAGAGCCCGAGAGATAATACCACAATGACATATTGTATAGATGACAGTTGAATACTGTTCTTCGGTTTTAAATTCTAGATATTAATAGTCTGTAGGTATGCATACTCTGTGATATACATTAAAATATTTTCCATGCATTATACGCACGTCCTACCTAAGACTTATGTTACAGCAATTATCACTTCATACTTATATCATTTATATCATACTTAATATATAAAGCTGAAAAGTTTGTTTGTTTTAACGCGCTAATCTCAGGAACTACAGGGTCGAATTGAAAATTATGTTTGTATTGGTTAGAGTATTTATCGAGAAAGCTATAAATAATTTATAGTCGGGAAATCGGAAACAGCGTGAAATGTAGAAAAAACGGCTAAATGCCTAAGCAATTTTGTTTCCGATGCGTATGCTGCATAAACAGTTCTAGATACCTATAAAATATGTATGAAAGTTGTTGAATTATCTCTCTTTAAATGGTGTAAGTAATGTCCGCGATACTATATGTTTATCTTGAAAAACGACGGGACGCGACCGACGTAGGCAACAGCTTAAACTTATAAAGATGATGATAATGACTATTCTACGCAGACGAAGTCGCTAACAGAACAAGTGCATATATGCACCTCCTACCTAATACTTATGTTACAGCAATTATCACTTCATTAACCGCTATCCAGGAAGTTACAATTATTATAATTGTCATGTTTACTTATTATGTAATGCTTCATAAAACTAGTTGAGTCTGTGACTTTTTCGCACGATCATAAAAAGAATATCATGAAAACAAGAATTTAAGATCATAAAAAAATTGGGGACACTTTATGGAAAGTAAAAAAAACTATTAAGATTCTATGCCAACTAATTTTTCCTCTCGCCATTAGGAAGATTAAAGACAAAACTAAGACATGAAATTACAAATAATAGAAGAATGCATAGAAGCATTAGAAAATATTGCTTCTAGAAATGATTTATGTATTTAAAAAAAAGTCTGTGAGAACCCGGGGCTCGAAAATTTGTTTTAATCACACTGTTGTAAAAAAAAGGTACCTACCTTCTTAGTAGCTTCATAACTTCCTCCGTATCCGCCTCATCTATTTTTTGTATAGTAAACCCCGGCATTTTCGATGGAATATGTAGTAGATCTAAAATTGCCATTATTTTATCATTATTTATCTAACGATAGGACATATCTGAGAAAAAATTGTCGATAAATTAATCAATCTGTATCGTTATCTATTATGTGGGAAATATAAATCGTAGCTAACTGCGCTTTTTAGGGTTCTGTACTCAAACGATGAAAAAGGAACCGTATTCAAATTTTGCAGTTGATACAGATTGCGAAGACTCACCAATCCGTTTCTCGTAGAACCGAGATTGCTAGAGAGTTGACATTTCCATAAATTAAGTCATTTTTGTTGGCAATATTGCATCAAATATTAAACAATATATTATAAATACTACTACTTAAAAAACGAAAAATAGTGTATTTAGATTTCAGACAATGGTACCGAAGCCTTCGTGCTAGATTTCGACTCGCACTTAGCCAGTTTTTAGACCTTATCGTGTAATCATGTTTGTTCTAATCTCTCAGTACACTTGAACATACAAACTGTTGTGTTTTAGTATTACCGTGTCAGTAATGTATGGAACGTATTGTCAAATGCTATGGTCTTAAGGCAAAAGATTCTAACATACCTTTAAATGAAACACTTAACGTTTAAAACGCGATATATATTAGTTAAACTTGTTTGAAAAATATTTTAACTAATATATATCCCGTTTTAAACCGTTAGTGTTTTATTTAAATGTGTGCTACTCGCGTAAATTACAGACAGTATTCTAACATACCTTTTAGAATATTATGTCACCAACTCTCCACTTGAGCGTAATAAATTAAGATTTGGCGCGCGCGCTTGGCGCACAACACCCGATCAACTGGTATTAGTCGCGAATATTACGATAATACAATAAATATACAGTGTATAGCGTAGATAATAACTCCGTGTACAAATATTATCTTCGCTTGCCAGTTTATCTTTTAGTCTTCCGATTTTCGGCGAACACGGCCATTTTATTTCACTCGCGTTAAAACAATTTACACTATTTCGTTTGTGGTGTGATTTTGAAGAATAAAAAAGACATTTTATAGATATTATTTCTATCTATAACGACACGTGTGTCACCTCGTAACTATTTTATGATAGTGCCGTAAAAACAAAGTGTAACGTCTGGCGCGTATTCTTCGTATTCTATTTAAGGGGCAGAGAGGTAAAACTGTTTTATAAAAGTTCTTGCTTCGTTTTTAAATTAAAATTGCATTAAAATCCTCACCAACTTGTTTTCTTCTATAAAAAATACTTTCACATGAACCGGTCAATTATGGGTTGCTTTTTGTATGTTTTAACGAAAGCCCGTGAAAAGTACACGTCTCCGAAATCGGTTAACAATATACAGACTGTCGGGGCTACCGTTGTAGTCGACGGTCTTTCGTTGACTACTTCAAATATGTGTCGTTAGTGATGGAATGGGTCAAATGAACCAAATTTTTTGGCTCGATCCGTTGTTGTATTTTAAGTTATACTTAAGCCGTTTCTTTATTTTCATTTAATACTTAGTTATTAAGTAATAAAATAATAAATCTTTTAATCCACAGGTCCACTGTGTTAATTATAATTTTCGTAAAAATTAGCTAATGAATAAAGGTATGTATATATAATAAAAGTCAAACTATTTAGCTCCGCACACCTGCGCAGACGTGACTACAGTGCCTTACATATGGATAGTCTAATTTACTAGCTCATAGATTCGAGACGGGACGTTCTCAACAAAGCTATGAATGCTTTATTATATTAATTTAATTTAATGGTTCAGAGTGATCCGTAATCGAAGTTCCGTAATCAGCGTAAACAGCTCGAACTCGTAATTACGTTAGTTTTTGAAATTCATCCAAGTATAACATTAAACGGGTCAGACGAACTAGATCATTTTGTCTAGTTAGGTTTTAGTTCTTTGCGATCCTACGGACAGCAATTGTTAAGCTGAACTTTGAAATCTTCAAGCACGTCTATTCACTTGCAAGCGTTGAAGTTGCACTTTACTTCCATTTTCAACGATGGCATATTTTGCAAGAATTTTTATGCACAATTCTTGCAGGTATTGTTCATTATAGTGCCAAAAAATGTTCAAGGAACTTCTTTTCTTTAAAATATATTAAGTGATTTTTTTTTATGGACTTTTTATAGATTTTTTGAGTGCGTGTTTTTTTATGGACAGAATAAGTCTAAATACTGTCTATAGTTTACGCGAGTAGTAACCATTTAAATAAAACACCTTAACAAGCAGCCGTGGTCACGGGGAGACTTGACCACGGCTGCTGCAAAGCATCCGAAACGTCGGGCCAAAGTTAAAAATCATTTCCAAATAAGTTTATATTATAACTAATATATCGCGTTTTAAACCGTTAAAAAGTTTTATTTAAATACAGAATAAGTCTATTATATTATTAAGTGAAGCACTAGCGTAGTGTGTTAAGAAGAACTAACTACATATATAAATCGATGCTTTATTTCGTTCTAAACCCGGGACACTTTCCAAAGCTTAAAGAGACCATCTTGCAAAATAATATTTACCAGAGCCTATCATGACAACTAATTGAAAGTAGTAAATCTAATATTTGTTTTATTAATATTACTTCAAATAAAAACAAGGAATATTTTCCCACCATTATTTTTATAGCTATACCTTATCTGTTCTTATTATATTAAAACTACATGATTTATCGAAAATCTTTAATATTTTACTTGTATACATGCATACCATAGCATTATATAAATTATAAATCGACTGTAGATTTTTTTTAAATACGCCACGGGTCTTGAACCGTTATCCACAGCGCACCGTGCCTCTAACCAATTGACACCTAGTAGGCACGGTAGCTCAGTTTTTGTAATTAAATCAAAACAGTTCCTTAATAAATACTTGATCGAACTCGTGAGGTGGGTCTGGTACAATGATGTTGATGTCAGTGAATGCTCTTTTGTAAATACATTTGAAACCAAACTTTTCAGCAGCTTTCGACGAATAAGCGCTTGTAGTATCCATTCGCATTAGTCTCAAACCCGTTTCCTTTGCAACTTTTCTGAAAAAGGAAAAACATATTGAAATTCTCTATCATAGTACTGGTTTGAATGAACAATTAATGCGTTGGTTGGAGCATTAATCGGAAGACTTCAGGCTTAAAATTTTACGCTGCGACCAATAGGAGCGAGCAAACATTAGGGGGGAGGGGGATAATAATTATTTTAGACGAAGATTAATTAAAAATGAGAAGGGGGTTTGCCAAGATAAATTTTGTTGTCAAAAATAAGTATTCTACGCAGACAAACTCGCAGGCACAGCTAGTTTATTAAATAGTTGGCCTGCTTAGTTTTCATTGCCTGCAATGTATTTGAATGTCAGCTCCATTTTGTTTAACTACTTAACGAACAGTTTTAGCAACATTTACAGGAAAATAATTCAAAAACTAGTATTCGATCTGAATATACTAAAAATAGTAAGTATACATATGTACGGCATCAATGCTAAGCTATAACTTGTTTGGCGTATGTCAGTGGATGAGGTCTGGTTGCTTCGTTGATATAGGAGGACAGAATGCATGGAGAAAACTTCACAGCTTTTTCATCCATCGACGGTGGTTCTAGCCCCGGAAGGAATTTCGATATACCCGTATAATATCCAGATTTTCAAAGTCAACATGTTTCAGATATATAAATTGACTACAAAAATGTTGGACCCGGTTGGGATCGAACCATACATTACAGCTACAGTGGCGGCTCTACCTTAAGTGCGCTAGTGCGCTGAACCACCAATTCAAAAAGCTCAAAAATTTTACTTCACCTTTATTTTTAAATGATCATTTTAATATTTATTATGTAAACATACAATTACGTAAAAACAAATCAAATTATGGTGAAACATTTTGAGCGAAACTATTGAGACTTATTTTTCTGTAAAGTCGCATTGATTTAATGTTAAAACAATAAACATATTTTATGTTTGAAAACATTAATATCGTTTACATGTTATTGCACATGAAGGCACCATATAATTTAAAAATCGAAAATAATTTGAAAATATTTTCGACTCGGGCAGGACTTGAGCCGGCATCGTCAGCGTTCCGTGCTGTTGCTCTACTCAACTACAGTTGAAAAAATTCGACGATGAGGTGTAGGGCTCGGTAGCTCAATTGGTAGAGCAACAGCACGGAACGCTGACGATGCCGGCTCAAGTCCTGCCCGAGTCGAAAATTTTTTCAATTTATTTTCCATTTTTAAATAACACATTTTATTTCAATTGTCGATTTGTTGAATTTTAATATAAGTAATGTGCACCACCAATTCTATAACCCACCAGTCGCCACTGATGGCTACCATTACACCAACGAGATCCGAAATATGAAAAGGATAAAATCTTACTCTGTTTCCTGCATCAGTGTCTTCATGATACCCTTATTTTGCCATTTCTCGTCTGTCGCTGCCATTGTTATTTCGAATATCTTCTCTTCATCAGGATACTTCGCCCTCAACTGTGCACCACTTTCCATAAGCGCTGACATTTGTAGTATCATTTTAAGGTTTGGATCTGTGCAGTATTTCATCAAGAGACTATCCAATCGCTGTAAGTAAATGTCCCGAGTATTCTAGAGTTTGTTTGCTTAGTGTATAACCAAAAATTTGTTTTATGATAGGAGGATAGAGCATGAGGTTCGCTTGATATGTAAAATACCACAGCCTTATAACATGTAATCAAGATTTGTAGACCTATTTTGGCTTTAAATATTCGGAAATCCACAGACTGTAACCGAAACGAATAAACTTGACGGCTTTCTCATTTACGGGTCCGGACGAAGTCTGTCATGTTTCAGAAAAATTATACATTTATCATAAACATGTTGGACCTGGTGGGGATGGAAGCCAAAACCAATTGCATATTAGCCATTACACCAACGAACCCGTCAAAACATTATCGAGCTTTTTTCTGAATCAATGATCTAATCTGGACGTTAAATAAGTATCTAGTAGGAATTGAGCTCTATCACAGTACAGTACAGACCACCGCATACAGATGTAAACGAAAATCGAATCCTCGATCGTTTTTAGTGTAAGTTTGAACGAAATATAGCAAAAGAATGTTTGCCGGCTCACCTAGTTACTTATACACTAAAACTTACATCTCTAATTGACTGAGTTCCACTTATAAGAACTCCAACGATATTGCCTTCGGAATCAATAGCTTTAAATGATATGCCTGGTAATGTGTATCTTAGGTAAATATCCAATTCAGGCCGTTCATCGTTTTCCGATGTGGTGAAGGCAACCTTTTTGTACACCGGTTCCTGTACGAAGAATGTTCTGAAAAAGTATAATAGAACCTCTAAAACAACATTGTTTTCATATTGTCTAAGTGTTTTAAATTTAGCGTATGCGGTATATTTGAGAAGTTATAACTATTTTAATAAAGAAGTTTTTTTAAATAAAATATTTTCAATTTTAAATGATTTTTTTTTAAATAATTGTATGGTACATAATTACGTTTAAATTTGTTTCTTGTTATCGCAGGACGAATGAATTATATCACAAAAGCATTTGCTGTCTTTTTTATAAATATATAGAAAACTATAATATTTTCACATAATGGCATTATACAATCTAAATATCGATTTTAGATTTAATAATAATGTTGTTATTTAACAATATACAGATTAAGGAATACCTTCTCAAAAATTTCAACACATTTTCGGTGTCTGCGTCTGTTACTCGCTGAACGGTGTAGTCCGTCATTTTCACTTACCACCAATGCACTTTCTGCCATACCACCAACGGTGAGTATGTATTTAAAAGTGAAGCTATAAGATAAGATAGTATATAGTCAGATAAACAAGAAATTATTGCGTCGTCGTTTGTATTCATTAAACATTTCTGAAAATCAAACATTCTTTGTAGCTACTATATAAAATTCTATCACGGCATAGAATACAATATTCCGTCTCTATGTATGCTAAAGTCTTAAAAACGACGCAACAGATTTAGAAGCGGTTAAATTTAGATAGAATTATTTAAAAGAAAGCTTTATATATAATATGTATATTTTTTGATCGATAAATGCGTATGTTGATCTGGCTTCCAATACTAAGCGGACCTTTTGGCAAGCGCTAGACCTAGGGTGTCCAGGGTGTCTTACCCGAGTGAAGGGTACCCATAACAAGCGACGGCGGTGTCGCGACCAACCGATGGCGCTGCGATAGTATTGTTGTAAACGTTGTGTACAAGGATTTGAAGTCTGTATATATAGGTCAGCTAGTAACATTGTAAAGAACAGTTTTGTATAGAATCTTTTAAGTATAAAGTGTTCACTGTTATTGAAAAAACGGAATCTCATAAACCTAACAAAAAAAGTTAGCATCCTATACATATATGTTTACCATAATATTAACGATATGTTCAATTATCGATTGATAATGGCAAAGCAGCCGTGCTTATCGCATTCAGATTTTCCTCGAATGTTTGAGGAAAATTGAGTTTTTTTTCGGTCAAAGTACATCCAAATGTTTTCTAAGAATACTTAAGTTTCATTGGGTCTTTTTAAACCAAGCAACTAGTCGTGACTTGGTGAATTTTGTAAGACTTTAAATTGTTCTTTAATTTAGTTGTTAGTAAAACTCGTAGCTTAGTAGAATAGTATCGTTCGTTTATATTAAGCTTTAAAGTTCAGGTTCTTTTAAAGTGATTACTTAAACTTAATAAATGAATGTTTTCAATTTTTTCTTGTTGTTAATGAAAATAGAAAAATAATTAAATAAACCTTTCATGAAAAGTTTATTCCATATTTCGAATTTTATTCGAATTTTTCTATACCGTATATTGTCATGGCAATACATTGCTAATATACAACGAATTCCAACTGTTGGTAATGGGTTCAAGTCACGTTCGCGTCTTATTTTTTTTTTCATTTTCAGTAAATTTGTCGACTTAGTTTTCAACCGAACTGGTCTGTGGTCATTCTCTGTTATTATTATCATATAAAGCAATAGGTATATACATTACTTGGAGGTTTACGAGTTAACACAAGAATTTTTAATATCCAGGGAATAACGAAAAAGGCGGAGAGTATACCGGCTCTAATTACAATTTTATAAAAAGGACTGGTTTGATTGTTTGTTGGAAATAACTAGGCTTGGAAAATATTTAATCGATTTTAAAAATACTTTTACTATTAGGAAGCTACTCTGTTTTCGGTGAAGATAGGCTATAATGCATTTTCATGCGAGTAGAATGTAACCCAAGCTGTAAAAAAGTTACCAATAAGCTTTTTGCACTTGCAAAAAGTACCTATTGGTTGTGTACGAAAAATGTCGTCACAACATATGATTAACTGTCCTTTTATTATTCTTAATCAAAATAAATACTGCCTCGAAAGATATCACCGTGGAAAGTGATTAGGTGTCACGGGGGCAGCAACTGCTTAAGCTTAGGGAAGGAAGCATCCTTCTGGACGAGTCTTTAGGCCTAGTATACCTTTAGATTGAGAATATGTACGATAAAAAGTGTCCTTGGTTGCGTTCTATGGCAATTATGCCATTATCAAGAAATAATAGTCCATGAAATTAAGTAATAAAAAATTACAACCTATATACCTATACCGTGACTCGTCCCACGTGAATTAACCCAGTCAAATATCCTTAGGAGTTCTTAAATAAACCCGTTTAAATAAAAAAATAAATGTTGTACTCTCCCTTTACAAGATGCAGGCGTTTACTGACTGGATTGTGATTGTGGCCTATCCTACATCAGCCAAACAAAGCGTAGCGTCTCGAACAGAATCAAAGAACACGTCGCGGACATAAAAAAATAAACGTCTCTCCAAATCTGCGGTATGCCAACACTCATCCGGAAAGTCGGGCCGAAGTAAAAAATAATTTTCAAATAAGTTTAACCAATATTCGCGTTTTAAACCGTTAAAGTGTTTTATTTAAATGTGTACTACTCGCGTAAACTACACACAGTGTTTACACTAAACCTTACTCAGCACGCACGAATGAAATTGGATTGCCAAACATACTAGGAATTAATAAATCATATATTTGAAATTTACTCTTTACTTATCCCCCACAAACTAAAAAAAAATATTTAGGACTGGGTGTGTAAAAATTTAGAAGTTCTTAAATTAAATTTTATTTAATTTATATATACATCGTATCTTTTTTAAATGTTATTTATTAAATGTTAAAACCAGTGCAAAGTCGGAGAACTGTAATTCCAGTAGGTTTATTTTATAAATAAAATCACATTATATTAACAAATAAATTTATTTAGCCATATTATTTTTATTGTTTTTATTAATTGAATTCCTTAATATATACTTGATCATACTCGTGGGGGGGATCTGGTATAATTAAGTTAATATCTCTATAGGCTCGCTTGTAAATACATTTGAAACCCATTTTTTCAGCTGCCTTCGCAGAGTATGCGCTTGTGGTATCTATGCGCATCAACCGTAGACCTTTTTCTCTTGCTTTTTTCCTGAAAGAGAAGAAAATATATTAACATCTCTTTTATAATAATAAAAAATGTGTGTGAAGAGTAATTACAAAATATATTTAATATATAATAATTAAAAATAAGTAGCCACGCTAGCAGTTTCTCGGCGAAATATGTATTCGTTTTTTTTTTATAAAAGCGCCTACAAGAAAATATAAGACATTTAAATTAATTTAAATGTGAAACGCAAAGATAAATATAACATATAACTTAGGTGTTAATTATTTAAACTACGACCTGTCTTATCCAATACTTAGCAGCAGCCAATATTTGCGCGTAGTTATTTGTATTTTGCCTTCTGACCGTAAAAAGTGTTTCAATGTGTACTATTCGCATAAAAAAACACTGACAAAATAAACTTAAAAAAATACAGTACTAAATATAAAAATATTTAACAAACTTCAAAGATAACATTTTTTGTAAGGATTTGTCGTACAATTTGAAGTGCCTTATTCGGTATTTTATATTACGAGTATTTATTACTTTAACACGTGCACAGTACGTAAACCCTCTTATATACAAAGGTTTAAAACCCCAATTCCTCTGTTTCTTTTAACACAAGCAAACCTTATGGTTCCATAAGTGTAAGACCGTGTAACGCCCTCTCGCGGTTATAAGTGAAAGACTAACATTAAATTTTTTTAATCTCAGTTAATTACAATAGTTCTAGGCTTCAATTTATAATTTTCCAAGATTTCTGAAATGTTTATGAAACATGCAAATTGAGTAATTTTTGACTGAAATTTCCTTACTCTGCTTCTTCCATTAGCTTCTTCATCACACCCCTGTTTAACCAGTTATCGTCTGTCGCTGCAAATATGATTTCAAATAGTTTTTTCTCATTTGGATACTTTACACCCAGTTGGGCACCCTTTTCTCGAACATCGACCATGTCTAAGATAACTTTAAAATTTGGATCAACGCAAAGTGACTTCACTAGGCGGTAGTCCATAGACTGAAAATGATTAACAAAAGTTAGGATTTTTTAATTCTGACATCGTCGTCATTTATATGTGTCGAAGAAGTTATTGTAGTTCATGCCTCTTAGACGAAGTAACCATACATCAGAAAGCATGTAGTAATTATATATACTGGCCTTACTTAGCCTATATTAAATATTTTGAATAGTTATGGAGACAGACCGTACACTAAAATATAAGTGGTTTTCGTGGAAAACTCTTGTAATGGCTAGAAGCAGTTATATCTCCAGTATATCTGTAACTCACATAGGCCATTAAGCCTGTTTGTCCCGATTATTATCACTAAGAGGCGGTACTGATTGTAGCCCACCAATAAGTACTGGAGCAGTGTGGTGGGTCTGAGCTTGGACCCATTCTACAATTTAGGATTTCCTAGATAGTAGACAAGGGTAGTATAAACTTCCAAATGTATACTAATATAAAAGTATATATAAAGCTTTTGTAGCCCAAAATAAATATTCTGCGAGGACGAAGTCGCTGACACAGGTAAATTATAAAAGCTTTTAAAATCTTACATCTTTCACTGAACTGATGCTACTTATGAGCACCCCAATAATATTTCCACTCGCATCTTCAGCCATGTACGATTTGCCAGGGAGACAGTATCTACAGTATCTGTCCAAATCAGTACAGTCATCATTTTCCGATTTACAATACCCAATTTTCTTATAAAGTGGTTCGTGCATGAAAAACGTTCTGAAACATTAGAAATCATTGTTAATATACTAAGATTTTTAAACCGTAAGACTGTTTTTTTATATAAACGTATTTTGTAATGTGCAATATGCGATACAACAGATATTAAATATTGTTTTAGATATACATAACATGTAAAATAAACTTGTGTACAATTAACTTATTCAATAAAAAAACCTTTCAGTTTTAAAGTAAAGTATTTCTTTCTTAAGGTCCATACAGTTATAAAGCACATATATAAATTAGATACTCTATGTAGATTACGCGAGTTGTGCAAATTTAAATAAGACACTTAAACGGTTTAAAACGCGATATATATTACTTAAACTCATTTGACAATAACGGCCCGACACTTCGAATGCTTTGCAGTAGTCATGGTCACGGGGAGACTGAGTCTGTCCGTCGTTTTAAACCGTTGAAGTGTATTATTTAAATGGATATAAATTAACAATTACTAGTTTTAAATAATCATAAACCAGTTGTTAAGAGAAAGCACGTAACACTGTGATCGTGGATTCGATTCCTGCCTATTATAGAAATTATTTAAATCTAAAGTACATGTTTAATGTACATGGTAAGGTTTAATGTACAAGGTAAATATACCTTTTTAAAAATGCCATAACATTGTTCGTATCCGACTTTGCAACTCGCCGTACAGCGAACGCCATCCTTTGTTGTTTTGCGATTACCGTATTACTAAAATGCTTGAAAAAATACTTCGTATATATTATGGGTTGTTTTTAGCGATAAGATAACTGTACGATGAGTTATCGTCGTATATTGTCTAGTGAAACATACTATCAAACCGCATGTTTTGATAACACCTTATTTAAAAACTGTACCTGGAATAGAGATTGATATCGTACCAAAACATTTTCCTCAATATATTTCATCCGTGACGAATTTCAAAAATGGTGAAATATTCATAATTCATCTAAAAAAGGTCAAAATTTCGTAAATAACTTTAAAATGCGCTGTATAGGTAGAAAAAATACACGGGCTGGCTATATTCTTACTAATTAAAAAGAACACATTTAACGGTTTTAAACGTGAAATATGTTAGTTAAACGATTTTTAATTTAATTACTAAATTACGACCTGGCGTTTCTGTTGCTTTGCAGTAGTTATGGGACGGCTGAAAGTGTTATGTAAATGTGTACTACTCTCGTAAACTACAGACAATACTTGTATCTCTACTAAGATAAGACGTGATAGAAATTTAATTGTATTCGGGTTCATTTTGGTTTTCATCATTTCTCAATTTCGAGGGGTAAACAGCTCAAATGCCTAAGAAGCTTTAAAATACACGCTATTATAATGTACTAGCTGTGTCAGCGACTTCCAAATTTGTTTCTGCAAACTTTCTCTATATCTTTATAAACTTTAAGCTGTTACCCACGATATCGGTCGCGACCCGTCACTCGTGAATAATTGTTCAGGTCCCGTCCCGTCGTTCTTGCAAGTTAATATTAAAAGATAGACGTATAGGACATTTTTTTAGATAATTTAAAGAGGAATGATTCTTTCATACGTATCTTTTGTATGCCTTGAACCCTTTTCGCAGCGAATGACGCGTGCGCTGCGCAAACGGTTCATTTTCAAACCCACAGAGATGAATAATGTCCCATGCCTTTCTCGGCGTTTCTTCGCTCCTATTAGTGACAGCGCGAGTTTTATAGCTTATAAATAATAAATGTTCTAACAGGCACAAAATTTTTCAATTCGAACCAGTTTCTGAGATTAGCGCGTCCAAACATACAAACAAACAAACTCTTCAGCTTTATATATTAGTATAGAAATAATAAACATAATCTTCCATTATCTTTATGGTGACAGATAAATACTCGATTAATAGGGATTATATCATTTAATTAACTAATTAAATCACATTATTATCATAAAATACACTAAAATCATACAATACGTTTCTAAAATTACAATTTTGACTATGTCAATATAACCAAGAAATAACTCGATTTTTTCTAATATTTTATAATTATTACAATATTTTATAGTTATAATAACACTTAAAATACGAAGGAACGTCTAAGCTACAGCTTTATAGTTACAGAGTACAATTATTAATACTACGCAATCCCTTGTTAAAAGTATTTTTGTTATCTTGGATTTGCTATATTATTTTTGCAGGAGTTTTTTTTTATCCTACATCGTAATCATACTGTTTAAAATATACATTGACGAATTTATATAGAACACAGCCTTATAAGAAAATGTACTAATAATTTTAGAAACTTCAGTGGGTATTTTTTTAAGATATAGGTGGACACACGTATTTGCCCCGGTATCGAAGTCATGACCCATTAATTATTAGCCCACACTTTGCAATCGACCCACGAGCCTTTCAAACATAAAAGAATTTTTAAAGCATACAAGTAACTCATACGGTTACCACATCATATATATGAAACATGTAGTACCTATGAGGCCGCTAGAGGCAGAGTAGCCTAACTACAATTTTATCACTTGACTTCTTTATATTTTCATAGTCCAAAAAGTTCAATCTATAAGAGCACAGAGAACTAAAATTGTTAACATAATTCGCAGTTAATTGCGCATTTTTATTTTCCTTATTAAAAATCATGATGTTTTGTTATTAGGCCACTCTGCCTGTAGCAGTATCATACGAAGTCATCTAATATTAAATAAATTGATGTAAAAATGTTGAACTGTAGTATTCTAATAGAATTAGGAAAAAAATATTTATTAACTCTCTTGTTACAGACTTCTAAAAGAAAGATCAATATGCACGAAAAAGAAAGATCTCTCCGTTTCATATATTTTTACATTGTAATTTAATGACAGGTACATTTGGCATAAAATTAAATTCTTAAAGCGCACAAAATCCTTGGCTTCACAAGCCTAACATACGTAACTATACAAGCTTAACTTAAATCCTAGTCTTACACAAATTTGAACTATGATATTTTCGTATAGAATGTAAAGAACGCTTTCTCTAATTGAAACATACAACTAAACTAAATAATATTTACAACAAATATGTGTGTATTACAGCAGTTTCAATTGGTACAGTGTGGCGTTGTAAACCAATTTACATAAGCAGTTTACATCACTTTCTGTACCATAAAATGTACGAGTTTTCTTTGAGGACCACCATAAAAGTAGCGGGTATTATGGATGTCACTTTTGGTTACACTTAGTTGGAGATCGAATGAAATGTGCAGATAATATAAATACAAAAAGGATAGACACAGTTTTAAATATATCTAATCGTGTATCTTCATTCCTGACGGAAACGTGTTCATATAATTTTAACCCAATTTCGAACAAGAAATACTAAAAGTTAACAATACAACATCTTTGACTGCTCTTCATCAATGTCGCTATTTCGGTGAAAATTGCTCGACGATCCGCAAGTATTCTTTTGTTTTTCCTTTAGATTTGTTTGATGTAGACCCTAGCTTCAACGTGTGGAGGGTCCGGGTGGGGGGCATAAGGTATGTCCTCGTATAAGATACTGTAGACGCTCTTGTACTTAAGCCTTTCAGCGGCTGCCGCGGAAAATGCAGATGTTGTATCCATACGCATGGCGCCTGCGCCAATCTCTCTTGCTATCCGTCTGGAAAAAAAGTTTCTCTTGAAAATATAGACTAATTATATATCTGATATTACATTTTTATTTTATGTTTTTACATGGTCTAAGTGTAGTAGTGTAATAGTGGCAATGTATAGCTAATAAACGGGTCGTGCGTTCGGGATCCATCGGGTCCACCATTATTCTAATTAATTAATAAATTTTCTGAATCATATTAAACTACGTCTGGAAATCTGGATATTAATAAATGGGTGGTAGTAATATCGAAATTCCGTGTGACGAATCACCGTTCACAGATAAAAAGCCGTGAAGTTTAATCACGCTTCGGTTTCAGTCTGTGAATTCCGAAAGATTGGAGATCCGAATATCCACATCTAAAATAGGTAGACAGTGCTTAATGTTTAGATGATATATGCCGGAATATTTTACCTACCTAAATAAAATATATCTTTGTCAATAAATGATATTAAAAAAATCTCGTTAGTACTATAGTAGTTAAAATTACAACTTATTCATTTTACAAAAGCTGTTAAATAAACTATGTGTTTAACTGTCGTTTAATTTAAAATAAGCTACTGTTTGTTATACTTATTGTATATAGTTATGAAAAGTGTATACATGAGTGCGAATTACCGACTATCGTAAAAAGGGATTGACTAGGTACCCACCCACTGTAAAGTATTTCACTCAACTCGAGTATGATATAAAAAAATGATGGTACTGTTAATATAAAACAAAAATCGATATATAGAATGTACAGTTTTACAGTACAATATTATTAGTTGTTATAATTGTATTAAAGAAAATATACAAACGAATAATTTAAAAAGTAATTTTGCTTAGATTTTTTTTACCATTTGTATACAGAGTTTTGAAAGTCACCAATATATTTGTTGTCAAATATTTTATTATTCAATGCGGAAATTGGGTATTATTTTATTGTGATTCGTCATAACTTAATTGGAAGTTTGTCATTCGTATTGTATTATTTTGTTATTAATGTAATTGCATGTTATTTATCATTGTTTATTTAATAACATAGTTACAAACTAGTCAGAGCATAGTTTTTTACATAAATATTTCCGTGTTGAAAGATTGAGTACTAAATTACTAACGTTTGAAAATTCTGTAACCAACTTCAATACTATATTAATAAACCATATCAATTTAATAACTACCGTTTAAGTTTTTCAAACAATAATTTTAGTCAAGTTCATTTATAAGAAATTTAGCTCTTTTACAATACTTATTTTTTTAGAGTGTAGTTTTATTTATTTTATAAATGATTATATTTTTATTAATATAATAATAGGTATATAATACGCAATTAAGTCCAAGGAACCATTTGTATACAACCATTGAAGTGTGCAATTAAAAAATATAAAGTTCAATTAATTAACGGAATTAATGAAATAATTATAGTGATATGTAATAACTTGATCATTTCCGTACATAAACGTGATTAATTCGATACTAGTAGTGGTGGGCTGATACTGGTGCACATTCGGTTTCATTGTGTTGCGGTAGCAACCGAAACCGGATATACAGATTTGGTAAGTTTCAAAATGTCCAAAGATAAGTAGGTCGAGAGGCCATCATATTTAAATGATATTCCTTTGGGTGGGCCGTGGGGTATATCACTTCCTTTTGGACTCCTCTTTGTCATACATAAAATTGGTTGGTTGTAAATTGGTTGCTGGAAAGGGTGTTTAAAACATAGTCCTTATTTACTTTTAATGATTTCCTAGGGTAAAGGTGTTTTTTTTTGTCCATAGTGTTTTATCAGCTTAGGACGACATGGTCTCCCGTTCCTCGGTCAGAAGGGAACTGGTCTACTATCCTATTTATAATTTAACTTAACTTATTATGATAGTTATGCTATTATCTTGGGTTACTTATTATTAATTAGTTACAAGACACAACACTCGCACTTTACGCGTATAGCGTTATTTTAATTTAAACCGAATTGGTCGGCTGTAATTTAGTTTCGGTTTAAACAACATTTGCCCCATCTCTATAGAGAATCGTGTTTCGATAACGAGACCTACATATTTAAACTTGTTTACCTCGCTAATAACATGCTCTTTGTGTTAACTTTTAAGTTAGACGTCACATATGGGATTGATCGCGTTTGCAAAAAACTAAGTTTTCCGTATGACAGCAATTAGAATTTACATACAAGTCTTTAACTACAAAAACGGCTTCAAACCCATTTTTGCCATAAATAAATACCTTTTTAAATTATAATATTATTAATAAACATTCATGATATCGTTTTCTTCGTCATCGTTCACTTATTGGAGAACAAAATACTTCAGGCATACAACATCTGAATAGAATATGTAAACCTATTTTGGCTGCATTAGGTATTTATAGACGGTAAAGGAGAATTTTCTTAGATAAAATATAAACTTGATCCATCAAGAACTTAAATCAATCTTAAAATGTGAACGGTTAAGAAATTATCTGTAAACAATAATTGCAAGTAATTCTCTCGTTGATTAATTATATATTTTCGCGTTAAACATCACGAAGGAAAACTAGTTTGAATAGATTCATTATCATAGAAAAACTTAGCGCGATTAATAAACTTGACCCAATAGGTAATTAAATCAGTGTCCACTGTTATACCTTGGCCTAAACTTGGATCGGGTCTAGAATCAAATTAACACCTAAATATAACTAATCTATTACAGATTCGTAAAAGTTGATTAAACCAAGATTCTTATAAATACTACATTTTTAATTTTTAACACAAGCAACAATGTTTTTTTGCACCAATTTGTAATTATTGAACCATTTCTTAAATTCAATAATACAGTAATTTTTTTTATTTATTATTTAATTACAGGCTAAAATGTTTTTTCAAATTTGTATAAGTTTTTTTATGCCTAAGTTTATAAATAGTGGACAAAGATATCGAAATAATGATAAGAAATTAATTAATCCCAAATTTTATTCACTTACCGATATCAATTAATTCTTATTGTCCCAATATTTTTTTTTTAATTCAACGTTAAATTAAAATCGATTGACACGGTAGCTCCATTTTTAAGCAATTGCCCGGAACGCTATCATGTGCTTGTTGCAAATGATGGTATTATATATTTTTTTTGAAAATATTGGATAAGTATATAAGTAAGGCAAACTAGTGTTTATGAATAACAGTGAAACGTCTCCTGTCTGTGGTTTTTTTTGTAGACTAATTATCAGTTGTTACCAGTGTAGCAAGAATTTACGCCTGTCATAAGTTTGTCTTGCATTGTTGTTGATTTCTTATGGTATTACCTATGAATGTATTCATTACACTAAAGCTGTTGACAAGTTAATATTGAACATGGCAACAATGGAATTGTATAAGTATGGACATTATCATAATAATGATCAGCTTGTCACTTGCGTAGCAATTATGCTCGTTATAGAATATAATCATTGTAATATACGTGTCATACATTATATTATGATTGATTTATACAATATACCTTATGGGAGTTGCAATTTGACACGCTGATTGACGCAAAGCACACAAAAATTACGAACTAAAACTTAGCAGAAGTACGTAAAACTGGAACTTAATACACAGCGCTATAACGCGTTACGTAACAAAGTTAATTACATACTGCCTGTTGGTTACGCGAGCAGCGCACATTGTAATAAAACACTTTAACGGTTTTAAACGCGATATATATTACGGGGAGACTCCCAGTGACTTCCGAAACGTCAGGCCGTAGTTAAAATAATATATATAATAATTTCTAGTAAGTTTAATATATATATAGCGTTTTAAATCGTTAAAGTGTTTTATGTAAAAGTTAATTACACTCTCACGAGATAGTTGTATAATCACTTTAGAATAAGCACGTGTTAAAAGACGATTAACATAACACTGTCTCTAAAGATGATAAATAAAAACATATTTAATATCGCTTTTATAATTATTTACAGGCAATAAATTAAATCAATGTATGTTTAATATGTCTAGCTATATTCAATAAAGACTCTAGGACATATATTTTCAGATAAACAATATTAAAGGCTATTAAAGTAATCTATACTAATATTATAGAGCTGAAGAGTTTGTTTGTTTGAAAATGTTTTGTGTCAGTTGGACCATTTATCTGGGAAGGCTTTAGGAAATAAAACATGAGACTGCGACAATGGGTAAAATTACTTAGGTATCTTTGAGGGATTCCGTTGAAAATCTATCAGTGAAATAATAATTCTCCTTTAAATTATCTAAAAAAAAAAGTAAATGACAGGACGCAACGTCGTGGATAACAGCTATAATTTTTAAAGCTGAAGGGGTGGTTGGCAAAAATAAATTTTGAGACCCCAAATAAGTAATGATCGCGGACGCAGTCGCGTGCACAGCTAGTGTGTATATAAAACGTCGCTCATAATGACAGCTAAGTCGAAAACGTTCATAATCGTTTATTTAATGCACTCTGTTCTTAAATTATATACCGTCAAGCGTATAATTACGTGTATACTGAATACAATACGGAAATTATCATAACTACCCTCGCATTGTTCTTATAAGTTATAGGCCTATCCGACTACCGCATTTGATTCAAAGAAAAATCAAATCAATAATGACAGGCCTGTTGTCACTATTAACTTTTATGAGCGCATTTTATTAAGGTTAGTCACTGTGTCACTTCCTTGTGAGAAAAAAATATATCGCAGATAGTGCGTTAATGAGATTATAATTTATATGGTATTGTTCTGGGTGCCTTGGGTTATAAGTCGCATTGTTCATATGCCTACATAAACATACATATATGAATTGAAACTCTTCTCTGGATATTATTCTCTTGGGCATGTTATTGTTATTTTTTAATAGAAAATTGATAAACTTTTAAATATATTGTTTTGTCAGTTTTAAACTCGAACTTATTCACAATTTATTTTAACTACGGGCGGTAGCACTCGCGCAAACTACAGTACTACATTCGATAGAAACCAAATTAATTATTGAACGAAACTATATCAAAGGCAGGATTTGAAATTACAATTAGTAGGTCTTTAAGATCTATATTTGAAATGTTTGAGCTAAAATAAATTGGAGCCAGATTTTAATGCATAAAATGATTCACTAATTCGATGAACATAATATATGCAATATAATAGTTCAATTGCTATACCGAGCTTTGCGTACTCTGTACGTTTAGGTTATCAGGTTACAATATATACACATATAAATATAAATAATAATTAGTAATTCATCTGTGAATGCCATGCATTTTTTAATATAATATATATTTAAAATATGCCCCATCACGCCGTACATAATTGTGGGTAGATTATTTTCCAATCAATTTAGTTTTAGATTGGCCGTGCATTTTTTCCGCATTCAAGGTTTTTTTTTAAGTCAATCAGTTTTTTGTCATACGCTTAATGTAGATGACTTAGGTAACTTTATGTAATTATTTCCTAGTTCAGTTACATTGTTGCTATGAATAAATGAACAGAACAATGTACTATTGCAAGGTAAGATAGTGATTTATTGAAGTAGTCTTTCAGTATGTTATCTTAAAGTATCGTTATGCGTTTAGTATTTAAACATTTTACATTCTGCACATGAAGGTTTGATACTACTAAACCTCTGTCCGTCAGCCACAAGGACCTATCTCACTATCTGTGGTAGACAGAGAGACAATACAACAAACGTATTTTAATTCTCCATTTTTATAGATCACTGATTTTTTTTTTAATGTAGGGCAGACACGCATGGAATTCACTTAGCCATAAAGAAATAGGTCGACTGTTTTGGTTTGGATGTTTGAAATTCTCTGACGACAAAGTAAAAAATTGTTACGCTAGCGCCATCTTTTACTTTGACGTCAGAGACATCCTCCATCTTTAGTCTCCCCGTGACCACAGCTGCTGCAAAGCATCTGAAACGTCGGGCCGAAGTTAAAAATCATTTTCAAATAAGTTTAACTAAATACATCGCTTTTTAAACCGTTAAAGTGTTTTATTTAAATGTGTACTACTCGCGTAAACTATAGACAGTATTTAATATCCAGATTTCCAGACGAGATCCAACATGTCTCAGAACAATTGTAAGTTGAAAATTTCGAAACATGTTGGATCTGGTGGTAATCCAGCCCACGACCTGATTATTACACATTATAGTAATACATTGCTGCCATCTCTGTTGAAAATATTATACGAAAAAATTTACTAATAATTATTTTTTAGCTGCTATCACATACTTCAAAGGCTCTTGGATATACCTACTAAGCGTTATAATAATTACTTACTCTGATTCTTCGCAGAGCACCCTCATCAGCCCTCTGCCCCTCCAGTCAGGGTGCGTGGAGGCTATCCTGACTTCCATAACCTTGTTACAGTTCACCGGCAGTTTGTCCCAGATTCTCGCCTCGCGGTCCAAATGGCCAAGTAATTTTAAGATCCTCTTGAATTTGGGATGAGAGCAGTCTTCAGACTTATCTGTATAATCCACTTCCTGTAATGACAGTTACGCTGTGATTAAATCATAAACAAAAATGAAAATCAGCAGATTTTTCTGTTAAACATTTTTTTTTAATTCGGTGTTTTAGGGGAGGAGTTACGCGAAAAATGCGATGACAGATATTTGTTAGCATTTTAAGTTATTAACAATGCTCTATCGTTTCTCATTACATTGTAATGTTATCGGAAGGTCAACTGTTGTAGCAATTAACACGATTTCAAAATGAGTCAGAATTGTCTAAAAGCATTCCATGTTTTTATTTCCTCGTGTTTAAGCCCATAGCAAGTAAACCATAGATCTTCGATTTCCTCCCAAACGCAAACGTATAGTTGAGTCGTTTTTCCAGGGATTTGAATTCGGAACCTTCCGCATTTATTTCAGTTGAAAGCAATGTATATACAAACTAAATAAAAGCAAAAAATACTTTATTTTCACCAAATATACGATTCAATTTGAAGAAATTACAAAAAAATGTAACGAGAAACAGCGGCCTGATCGCTAAAAAGAGATTTCTTCCAGGCAACCTTGAACGTGGAGATTTACAATAATAATTGTTAATATGTATATTTCAAGTGAGTTCGATCTGATTAGAAACGAATTTATGCACCAACACCAGCATTTTAAATACGTAAAAATAATCATAAGGAACTTATATTCTTGCATAGATAACATTATTCAAGACGCAAAAAGTAAGTAACACGATTGACATTTAAAATGTAACGAAAGGCGGATATTAATTATAGTTTTGTGATTTTAATTAATATTATATGCTATTGATTGACAGGTAGTGAATTGATATTCGAACAAGCATTAAGTTAATTTATTAGACGATAAGCCTTTAACCTTCGATCTATATTTAGAATAGTATAGTTAAACAGTACTTTCTTGAGAAGTTATGATTAATTTGACAATCAGAACATTATCTCTTATCTGTAATCAAAAAATTATCGCAGCAGTAACTTTGACTGCAAAATCGAGTTTAGACGAGGTCCAGGATTCGAATTGAAGATTTTTTATGGTATTTCTTGAAGCATCAATGTGTTAAAGCGTCTAGCTCTTAAACTGACTGAAGTAGAAGATTGTTACTAGAGTAGAACAAAAATAGGCATAAATAATAAAATAAAGTTAAAAGCGATCGTAATTATATAGATTCGTTCTGACTGTTCGATTGCGTTCATAATTATGGACAGACTAAAAATAGACCATAGACAATATTCTTTTTTTTATAGCTTATAGCGCAAAAAAAAGCTTTTAACATGTCAGTGTCTGTCACAAAAAAGTTTTTGCTTGATATTAAATAGGAACGGTTTTATTTTAAAATCTTTGTTATATAATCTTACGAAAATTAAAAATCAATCTCTATCTGTAACACAATAGCCACTCAAACTGAAGTGTAAGGATTTCCAATCATTACAGTGAAATATACTTCTCCGTCTAAATATTTGTATTAGATCAGTGACCTCCGAGGAACTCGGAGCCACTTTCCTTCGCAAACCACTTATCGGATTTCTGTCATTCGCATTGTCTTGTGAAAACGATCCTGCCAAACAGGGATGAATAAACTTTCCCTTAAGTCACGAGCGAAAATAGGTGTTCGTAATATTCAGTAATCGTTTCGTAATTATTAAGTAATCGGAGGTTTACTATTTACTAGCTGTCCCCGCGTGAAAGAGTTATTTTGAGAATCAGCTGATTATTCATAAATTATAGCTCTACGCTTGACGTCGTCGATGTTTTGTGAATTACTCAAAAGATATATACTGCCGCGGACATTTTTAGATCATTTAAAGAAGACACATTTTTGGGTTACTTAAATCGAATTGACAAATTTTCCCCGTTTTTTACATATTTCCCTTTCTTTGGTCCGATAGGTTGCAGCCTCTTGTTAGTCTTCCTCGATAAATGGTCTATCTAACACAAAAATATTTTTTCAATTCGAATCCGTAGTTCCCGAGATTAATGCGTTTATACAAACAAACTATACAGCTTTATAATATTAGGATAGATTAAGGTGTTGTACAAGATGTAGAATTTGCATGTTTTAACTGATTTTTTTTTCGAATGATGTTAATGTAATTTATAAAACTGATAGAAATTTGAGTAGGGGTTACAAGAAAAGGACAAGGTTATTAAATAAGAGCTAAAGGTTTTTTGTTACATATCAGCACTGACAGAATTGTTTTCATTTTTTTTTGAAATAGAGTTTTTTTTTCAAAAGTTATTTAGACTAAATTATATAATACGCATAAAAAAATTAAGCAACTCGTACCATGGTGAATTATTGATAAGGCACTGTGCGTGATAGTCATTTTAATTTCATAATAATCAACACCTGACCGGAAGTTGATTATTTGGTTAATCATTGCAATTAGTTTTCAACTTTGCGCGCGTGTCACGGATTAGTGTAGAATTAGGTATGTTCGCAAAGTACTTCCGCAAATAGGTGCGTGGATCAAAAATATAGTTCAACATAGACGCAAATCATAAGGCCGTATTAATAATATTAATTTGTCTATTTTTTGGAAGTGTATTTACATCACGACATTCAGTATTATCTGTTCTTATAATAAGATTTAATATTGAAGGAGATTTGGGAATACAAGAATAGTTTATGTCGCATGTTACAAAAGTGTGATCAACAACTTGTATACTCGTGTAAGGTGGGTATGCCCCAAATATCAGTCGTATTTTTTTGTAGCCGAATCTTTAAGCGCGACAAGGTTTGAATGCCAGGGAAACAATAAATTGGTTCTGCCAGTGAAACAGACGAAGAAGTGAATTCGCCTCATGCCCTGACGAGGATATTTACTTTTTTTCAATATTCTTAAAGATGATTATGAACAAAACCTCCCCTTTTTATGCCTAAACTATAATCTCCTCACTGAATGAACTTTACTCGAAATTAAGACAAGGGAACAGACAATATAAAATAGGACTAAAAGAAGAAACCATGTAATGTCCCATCGTTAATTCTTTTGGTGTCGGATAACGCAATGACCTTGGCAAAGGGGGAATGGGGAAATGGGTGTAGTGGTTAGTAAATAGCGTGGACTCCCCCCCTTGAAGGGATCACCCTTCCATCGGGTCCCCAATGGAAAATAGACCTATTATTTTTTTATCTCATACCTCTCTCGTCACAACGCCGTTTATAACAACACCAGCGAGTTTTCCTTGGTCGTCCACAACTGCGACAGACACCCCATCTTGAAGAGTGCTGGCTGCATATTCCTCCAGCTCCATGCATCGTGATTCTGGTGTCTCCAGAAGGTTAATCGTAAGGTTGAGAGGTTCATCGCGGAAGAAGAATCTATCAATGAATTGTATTATTTATATTATTATTTGAATATTTTCACATGATGGCACTATATACATATAAAAACTCGACAATGACGTGTAGCACTTTTGGTACGCTGTGCATTCCGGTTCAAATCCTAGTTTTTTTATATATCTCAAATCGATGTTTAATTTATAAATATAAGTTTTACAGCGTATAAAGTATTCATTCTTCTTTAAATGATCTATAAAAATGTCCACGACAGTGGGTAGGTATATTTCTATCATTTAAGATTAAATCGCAAGAATGACGGCAAGTGGACGACATCACGGGGAACCAGCTACACTTTAGAAAGCTGAGGAGGATGTTTACAAAAATAAATAAGCCATGAAAGCCATTATAACTATTCCACGTGTACGAAGTGGCGGACAAAGCTAGTCATATATATACCCTAGTCATATATATTCCTAGTCGGTTTACTTACCTTCTAAGAAAATCAATGACTGACTCTTTGTCGTTGGTCGTCAGCTTCCGAAGAGTGTATGAAGGCTTTGATATACTCCGTGGACGAAGACTGAGTTCTTTTAGCTGCGCCGGTAACTTATCAGCCAACTGTGAAAAATAACTACATATTAACAAAAAACACTATTAAACTTTGTATATTATATTACATACGTAAAAATATGTTTATAAGGAACTAATTGTTTATGTTATTTATTCACGAAGCGTGTTTTATCGGTGTTCGTAAATTGTACATAAACGCGCCTAATTAAAATGTATATTTTGGTAACTACAAGAATAAGGAAGCATTTTTTACATACATATTTGATATACCAATTAGTATTTAATTGTACTGATCTTTTATTTGGTTTGGCTAGCGGGCTATGGATAGTCCATTGGACAAAGTTGACCGAAAGACGTGGAGTAATTAGAAAACTAACAGGCGAAAGGGTTGCTTATAAGAATGAGAAAGGAGTTTTTTTGATAGACAGTAAAATACCGCAGTCATCTATGATCCAAACAAGATGCGCTATCGGCCTATTTGCCTTACGAAATTCGGAAAACAGAAACGTACAATTACCACTTCAGGGCGTTTCGTGATACGATCGGAACTTCGATATTACAACCGCCCATTTAGATATTTTATGGTTGTAGATAATCATTGTTTTGTTGAAAAACAAAGGCTTGCTCAGATTAAAAAAACACATAAGTAAATTAGAATTATTGGTTTCTAATGTATTAATTTCTCACTTACTTGAATAAAAGTTGTAAATTTTCTTATAATTATACGAAACATTTTGAAACCGTCTGAAGTCTGAGTATAACTAAAGGTCTGTGGTCATCATGAGACAATGGGAACACAGCGTCATTCCTTGTAACTTGATATTGAACAAAACATTAAACTCATTTCATACGTTTAGTCATTGTACTCAATTAAATATCGTCTTCTTTAACTAATCCTAAGCGTTGCGACATCGGAATAAATCATCTACATAATGTGAAGTGTTGTTTTTTTTCTATACAAATGTTTGAGGTTCACTTAATGGAAGGAAAAGAGTCTCAGATCCATTACATTGAAGCTGACATATTTTAAGGTTTAAAATTGTTTATAAAAGGATTTTATAAAAAAAATCTCGTACTGAGAGACTAGAATAATTTATTCGGACACTTTGATTAGCTTATCGTCTTGTAGTATTTGCCGATATTTGAGGCTGAAACCGACATTTTTACTTTACGATTTTTCCGTCGAGAGTCTATAAATAAGGTATGGATATGTTTCATAACTTCTATACGTAGCAAAACTATTAAAAAATTTATACGCTTGCTGGAAATCGAACCCACGACATACATTACTACTGTAAAATCAAAGAAAACGCATAATGTGACATTAGGTAACTTTTTCTAAAAAAGTCTATTAGCTGCGACAGCGTTAGTTATTTTGTGTTTGTCCTTTGTAAACATACACTTCATCTTTATACATTTAAGCTGTTACCCACGACATCGGTGGCGTAATGTATATGTGTATGTGTATAATATGTAAAGAATATTTTGTCAATCTTTGCCAAGCTGTAAATGCCATCTAACATAAGTTATTAAATTATCATCATCAGTTTAACTTAATTGTAGTGAACAGTACGGGTTAGCCAATGCTAACCCGTACTGTTCACTACAAGTGTCAATACACTATAGTAATTATATGTTATGTCCACTCCATTTAGGGTTTAAATTATGCCTATGACGTCGTCGATTAAACTCGATATAAGTTTATAACTGAATATAAGGCATAGTATATTAATAATTGTCAACAGAAGCAAATTATGCTAATATTATTCTATGTAATTGATATAATTGTCAAGTTATGTCAATGTTTCAAATATATACATAAGCATAATTGTTACAAGTTATTAATTCCCATGAAAAAAAATGTATTAAATTCTAAACGTTTAAGCTCGATTGTTTTGTTTTTTATAGGATTGAATGTTAAAAGTCCCTTTATAACTAGTTTTACTATTAAAAACAGTATCTTCATTTGTATTTAATAATAGATAACAAACAATATACCTAAAATTATTACAGTTTTTAGATACATTTTATGATAATAAAACCATGAGGGTAGTTTTCTATAAAGAAGGAACTTATGACCTCGACTTTTGTCACTTGTTTTATATAAATCTACTATAATAATTTGCAGTTTATCTTGACGTAGATTTTATATCACTCGTTTGATAATTTGCCCTCTTTATCAAATGCAAATTGCGGCATAGTCTGCTCACGACCAAGCTTTTATAGATACACTAAGGCTGGAATTTAGAACGTTAGTCAATTAAGTCGAAACATTGAGATACATTGTGTTATTTTAATCTTAACCATTGTTTTCACGTCTTTACGACGGTTACCTTGGATACGGAACTGCTAACATTTTGTAAGGAGTGAGGTCCTTATGGTACTATAAATTTAACTGAAAACCTTGCATTTTATTATTTGTACCTTGCAAATGTTTTTTTAGTCGTATGTATTTTTTTTTCACATAAAATATGATGTGGTGGCTGCGTGGCTGCGTTAATCGCGTTTACCATAGATTCTATCAAAGTGTCGGTCGGACAGGTCAATAAAGGAGTTGCCAAATCGAATAATATTATTTCAGCCTTCCGTCCGTATATATATTAAATATGTATTTATTGTGTTATTATATATAGTTTACGTATTAGGTTAAATTATTCTATAATATTCGGCAAGTAGTTTAATAAACTAACTTGAATCTACGCTCTGCAAACATAGCTTGTAACGGCCAGTTAGAAACAAAGAAAAAAACGAGTGTGTAACTTGATATATCAGATCTTAGAATTAGTTCCGGTTTATACTACCGTGTTCGTTCGTGACGCAGGATAAGATCTTGATAAACTTCCGACACTTAAAATGTATGTTTTTGCCTAGCGATTTGTACGCTTTTTTATTGTGTTCTATTTTTAAATGACATAGGAACAATCAAGGATGCTATATCGGTTTTAATTCAACCTTTTTGCGTTTTTTGATACTGCACTAAAAAAAAACTTGCACGAGAGATACATGTACGAATAGGTTGAAAAAAATTCGACGATGACGTAGGATTCGGTAGCTCAATTGGTTAGAGCAACAGTACGGAACACTGACGATGCCGGTTCAAGTCCTGCCCGAGTCGTAATTTTTTTGTTCAATTTATAATAGATTTTTATTATCATTAGTAATGTCAACAGTATAAGTTAATTGCATAAAACAGTTTCAAGTGCGTAATCGCGACCCTCGAAAATATTAACAATGAGACGCAAAATAATTTTCAGCTATGAAATAAGAACAATACATACATAATTTACAAAGCTATTACCGAATTTAAGACTTTACTTGAGATAATGAACATTAAAAATGCCATTTAATTAAGTAAGATCTTAATAAGAAGCTAAAAATGATTTTTATCCAACGTGCGAAACTGAAACACTTAAAAAGTAAGTTTCGCGGTCAAGGCCGACAAGGTCCTCAACATTAAGTATCGTACACGGTACGTAAAAAATAACGCAGCTTGCTCAAAGGCAATTAAAAGCTTTTTATGCACTTCCTGAACTTAATATATTAGAATTATTTTCCATATACCCGGAAGAGGTAACGGTTAAATTTAAATTATAAATACATTTGAGAAAGACTTTTTTGTAATTATTTTGCTATATTAGATACACAAAAAAACGAACTACTAGTGGAATGGTGGCCTTTTCGCTACTATACGATCTCTTCCAGACAACCCTAATAAATGTGACCAATGAAATGCTCATAATGACATATTTAAATAAAGCTATGAGAGATAAGTAGTAATAATTTTAACAGTAAATTGAAATAGTTAAGACATAAAAAATACAAAAGATTTTTTTTTATTACATTACACGTTATATATAATTTACCTACGTACAGGTGTTTTATTTTTGCAAACAATGATGGCAGAAACATAAAATCATGTATGTAAAAATAAATAAACCATAAAAAAGTGGGTCGTTTTAACGGGCGTTATAACAAAAAGACCAGGCGTATAAACGTATACACGGACCTCGCTCACGATCACTATCAAGGCCTAAGTTCGATGTTCGCCTTTCGATTTACTGCGCTTGACGCTACTGTGGTTTCACGAGTTCGGAGAATTTTAAATTATCAAAAGAAATCTATGAAAACTTTTCCAATGAGGAAAACGAATTCAAACTGTTTGTGTTTGTAAATACAGGAATTAAAAAAACAATTGCAAAATCTCTTTAGTGCAAAAGTGCAAAGCCTAACACATATAGATTACAGTTATCCTATTCAAATATAAAAGTATGAATAATACTTTGCCAATAAATAATAATTGTCAAATATAACTTCCCCTTCGAACGAGTAAACTCCTTTAAAACCAGTTTAACTGCTGAATTTGTTCTATTTTTTGAACAACCTTGTAAAACGCTGTGTTATACCTGTTTTTTAGTTAATATCATTTTGCAGTAACCAAAGGTCAGCTTTATAAAAAAATAATATACTGTAGTATACAGCATCAAATTATAACTAAAACTAAGACCTTCAAATAATACCTAAGTTAAAAGAATGTCAAATTATTTTAGCTCTACAACTGCTACGGGCTACGTCGAACTGGCTGGTAATAAAAAACAATAAACCAATTCCGAACGATTCTTGTTATTACAGATAATAATGTTCAATAAATAACCATTATTATGTATTTATTGTGTCACAGATTGTATTCAAAGTTTATCACGATGTCCGATACAATTATTATTACAATAAAATCACGAAGCTGTTGCTATGTTAAATGCAAGTATATATTATAATATATTAGATAGTCTGTATATGGTATAAGTGAATCTTATAAGAGGAATGATTTTAATACTAAGAGTAATACTACATTTCCTAAGATTTTAAAATGTTTTCTTAAGCGGAAATAAGCTGTTTGTTTGTAGCGAAGCAGCAGATGGTATGTCTATAGAAACTTTAGCGATCAAAACATTTTAAAACAGACGTTATAAAGACACACATTTCGTAAATAGTAACAGAAATAAGAATTTACAGTAGAAGTCGTTTTATTTGAGGACGGCGATTAAAAAAAAATCAAATCGAGCCCCGTTTTTATAACCTTTTAAAGTCCGTACGTTAAATACTGCATTGTTATAATGTTTCATTATCTCGAGGCGTTCAATCGGAAAAAATTGCCAATTTTTCCGAGAGAATGAGTTCTTGATATTAATTACATGTAGCAATTTCAATAATTTTCAACTTAACAGTAATCTATTAATATAAACCGACGCCGAAGTTCATTTAAGTCCTTTATTATAAAAATAATATTTTTAATTACGATTAAAACAAAAAAGATGTCGGAATTATGCCTTGTAAAAAAATATTAATAGTGATTCCTCGCAAAATTAAGACGTAAAATACAACAATGGAACGCACTCGAATTATGTAGATGCATATTGCGAACAAGAACCCAATGTAACAGTCACGGCCGACAAGTACCACAGTTCAAGCTATTGAAAATAATAAAATATGCTGTTGAACATTTTTATTATTATGAAGGAACTGAATATAAACTATGGTTATTATGTCTGCTAAGTAACAGTTGTACTATTCTAGAAGCGGTTATTCAGGTAATTAGATAGATTCTCGAATTTTCTTATTTATTTATCTTTGGGATATGACGTGTACACTTTACTAATATAACTACTTGTCGGACTTAAAAACACGGATCTTGTTATCAAAAATGAAACTTAGTCTATGTCGTGTTTCAAATTCAAATCTCCTGTGATTGCATAGTCTGTGGTTATTATAGATTATAATGAAAGTACGCTTAGTTTTCTATATACAGCGTATTATCTGTGGAGAGCAAAAACATCATTTGCTACGCTATGCTACGGATTATTTTTCACGTAGCATTTTTAAGGTTTTTGTATGCGGTGTACGATTACTGCTTTGTTTTACTGAGCTATAGGATAAATAAGCAAACTGTTCGCGTTATACAATATAATTGGTCACGATTTACGCACTATAATCGCATAAAACGGTAATATCCGGTCCAAACCAAGTGAACGTTCACGAAAACAAATATATAACGCGGTAATTATAATACTCCTTTGTTAAACTTACTATGTGCTAGGATTAATTTTAAATTATTCAAGATTAAAAGGCGACAATTTCAAATACTTCTTTAAAAATTGTGTAATTTGCAACTAGGTGAAACTTAAGAAAAAATCTATTATTTTGAAAATTAAAATATTTTGTGTATCTATTTGTAGTTTGTTAGAGTTTTATTTGAGAGAAAAATTATCAGATCAAATTGTCGAATGCAACACAAAAAAGCGTTGCTTTTTTCCGTTTCCGTGCATTTTACCACTTAATTACGTTAAGAATCTAAAAAATATTTTGTTCACCGAGTGTAACTTTTATTCGCTTGCGTTATCTTTATAAACCGTAGTTAACAATCGCAACTAATTATTTTGACGTAAATCATTAACAACAAGCATGCTTTACATATTTTACCATAGACACACGTATTTTATTATCTATATTAAAATTAAATACTGTATGTCAGTGGTAAGTAAGTGATAATTATGCTAATTAAAACGGATACTTCAAACAAATCGTACCTTAACATATTTGCTACCTACATTACAACCTTTTACAGATTAAATTAAGTATTACAAATCTAGTTATATTAATAGTAATAGGTTATTTTATTGAAATATTAGGTCAGGTAACGAAATTTAGACAGACGTATATTTGTTATGACAAACTAACGAATAAATTAAAAATCAATAATAGAGAGATAACATTTACGATACCGGCAGGGCTTGAACCGGCATTCACAGCATTCCGAGCTATTGCTCTAACCAAATGTCAATTTTTCATAATCGATTTTTAATTTATATAGTGCCCTCATGTCCGTGTGTTTGCCATACATGAATTTTACCAATACATAAAACTCAGCTATAGTTGTATATAGACCGTATACTCCCAAAATGTTGAAGACAATGACTTGGGTGTCTAAAAATTAGAGAATTTATTGCCTCAATGTAATTGTTCATAGCTAATATTTTTACCCAAAGTAGCATTCAGTTTTATGTAATGAACAGTTAAATTATTTATTGTTTGTATTAATTTGTTTCGCCTACCTTGCACATCTCATTTTCTTAACATTTCATAACTTTAGGTTGCCTGGAAGAGATCGCTTGTTAGCGATAAGGCCGCCCATTGCTCTCCATTCTAGTATATAGGTTTAATTTGTAATATTTTTATTTTTTGTGCAATAAAGAATATATAAATAAATATAAATAAACCACAGACAATCGTATCGATGTACGCAGGCTTCACATGCTGGCTGGTTATTTTTATTTAATTTCTAAGTAATGCACTGATTTATGGAAATATTCTACAATACGTGTACGAGATAAGACACGTTCATATACTCGTATCAGGAAATGAACACGTCGCACATATTTTATAATTTTTTATACCTATTATCATTATGGAATAAGGGACCGGTGATTAATTCATAAGAGGTACTGTTGGAACTTTGCGTTAACTTAGTATGAACCTAATCCTGGGAAAAATAAATGAATTTAGTAGGGAGAATCTGATTAACTTGATAAGATTTTACAATTCACAAGACATGGTGTTTTCGTTGAAATTAATATATTTGTCACAGTCCTGCAGGTCGATTCGTTTGTCTTTGGATGGCATTTTATGATTTGTGTTTACTTAAAAATCAATCAAGTATTGTCTGTAGGTTACACGAGTAGTTTTATTTTAATAACAGTAAACGAAGTTAACTTATTTACTTTAATTATTATTAATTATTGATTTTAAGTACGGCCCGAAGTTTTGGATGCTTGCAGCAGCCCCGTGATCATAAATCTATTTCGTTTTGATCGTAAAAAATGTTTTATTTAATTTTTTTTAACAATACGAATACAATGTAATATTAACTCAACAATGAATATGTAAAAACTAATATTTCTTATATCTCTATTAAGCATTTTAACACGATAGCAATCCTCGTTATAATTAAAAATAAGTGACTAATTACACAAAACTGTGTGAATCAAATTGACGTAAGTGCATATTGAAAAAAAAAATCTAATTCCCTTGACCAAATTCCCATATATATTGACATCGGAACTCTAGTTAAGACTTTGGAATTATTTAAACAACATTCCTAGACAGCTGTTGTCACCGACTCCGTTTGGACCGATCGTGATGCATTGAATATCTGTGTCCTTTAGGTGTTATCATGGTCTTATGTGATGCGAATAATTAAGTACAACTATTTTCCTACTTAACACAAGTAAAAACTACGAATTATCTTCATTACGAATTTGCATTTTTTTAAGAGCATTCGTGTATCTTTATCTATTTAAAGCGTGATCCCATTTCTCGTACATGAACCTTAGGGCACACACATTTTGTGTCTCTTAGTTAATTTTTTATACTCAATTAGGGCTTTGGTCATCGTGACGAAGTCCTGGACCTAATTAGAAAATTTACCCGGGATTTGAAACCGGGACCTTTTGCGTTTGCGTCAAATGCTTGACTAAGTTACGTAGGTTGTTATTTTCTTTTTGGCAAACCCAAACTAATTTTTAAAAAATGCATACTAATTTACGAAATATATTCCTTCTATCAATGTATAGCAATAAGAATAATAACTTAAAATAATTATTTTCATAGTTCATTACTTTGTCATCAAAGATGTAATGTTCTAGTTGCATACGAGTCAAGGTCCTGCAATACTCATGTATACACATTACGTACGAACTCGTTATAATTGGTGCAATGCCAATATATACAAATAGAAAGTCCAATAAACATTATGCAGTACCAATAATAATTCATTTAGTGATCTAAACAAAGTCTGAATATGACTTATTTCGATAAGCATTGAGAGCAAGGTTGTGTTACACAAAATACGCGAGATAAAGAGATTTTAGCTTAATCTATGCATAGAGTATAGTCTGCGCACAGATTAAACTATATTATTATTTTATTGCTGTTTTGGTACTTTATTCTAAAAAAGAGAATACAAATATAACATGATCCTCAAATTGAATAGACTAGTATTTTTTTTTCTATTTAAAAATATTTAAAGCCAAAACATGTCGTCGCATCTTGCTTAGATGTGATATGGGGTAGTTCGTCTATAATTAAATAAACCCCATGCATCTCTGTCATCCTCTATTATAAAAAAAAGAATAACCAATAAAGTATAGAAGTGTGTATAAATTTTTTCTAAAAATAATAACTGACTGAATAAATGACGTAAAATGCCTATGCACGGTTCATGGTCAATAAATTATGCCACCCAACAAGGTGCGATTTTATTTATGCCTTTTAAATTATAAATAATAAGTAATTTATATAATAACATTGCATTAAGCGTGCCTATAATTACTAAGTGCTAAAGAAACAGAAAATCGACTTGTTCAGGTATAAAATTATTTTAAAAGTTTCATATTGAAATATGTATACTAGTATTATTGTACTAAGTGTTAAGCGATGAATTTGTTTATTGTTTATGTTGTTCGACTACGATGTTAAAAATTACATGCGATAAAATGCAGTAGAAAATAAACTCGTAAATACATACCTCATTTTATAGACCGATAATTAAAAATGCCTTGTTAAAGAAATCATTGAAAAAAGGTTACAACAGTAAAAACGACTTTTAATTTATTTTTCTCAACATATAATATAAGTATTACATTTTAAATTTAGTTATTATGACTGTATACGTAATATTTACTACCCGCGCTTTTATTTTAGATCAATATCGTGATTCATAGTTCTATACTCCTTATCGCTTACAATATGGTTATTAAATTGCCGTGTTCCTGCATTTTATTTCGTAAATAGCGACTTCCTCTACACGATCATTCCATAATAATTATTGCATTAGGAAATCTAATTAGAACACAACATTATAAAAATGAAGTTACCTAGATTAGCGATCAGTTATGATTTTCAGAGATTTTATCGCTACGTTAAATTAATTGTAAATGTTAATTTCAAGTCTAAAATTAAAATGTCGGTTACTAACCGTATATTTATCTGTGATCCGTTCATTGTCTTGCTCAAAATGTCCTTTCTCCTGCAAATGCACAATGGTCCGCGCACTAGTGATGGCCATTATTAAAAAAATAAATTTTTCAAAAATGGAAAACCGTACGAGCTGTCACTTTTCGCGCGTAAACGAACTTCTGTGGCGTGCCCCTGGCGGGATCGCGGCAAGATTTCAAATTGGAATGATTGTGAAACCGCGCTTCATTTATATAAAAGCTGCTAGCAGACTGAACGCGCCCCTCGAGTCCTTTCATATCCGCCAGATTTTACGATGCCCGCTTATAGGAGTTAGGTTTTGTCGTTGATTGCACCTGTGGGTTATTGTGTAGTATGTTCGTAAATGTCAGTAACCTCTAAGTTGTTCTTGAACACAATATAATTGAGTTCATACGTAAAACAAAAGAATAGGACACTCTGTCATTTCTATTTTATGCTAAGTACTTTTAAAACCAAGAAGGTAATTAATTCGCTATAAAATGGTGGTGTTGTAAAATGTGTAAGTGATTGAAAAATATGTTGCGGTTATTTTTCTCATTATATCTCTGAATAAGTATTCTTTCTTTTTCATTATTTTTCTTAAAACTCTCGAGAAAAATTATTTTAAAAACGTATGACGGATTTTTCTCTGAGTCTATTTATTTCAGTTTTTATTACAAACATATATTTCCTGAGTTTATTTGTAACTATTTCAACCCTTTAGTTCTAAACTTGTTTGCTAATAATGACGGTAAGAAATAAAGATAATAATATATGGCAGTAACAACTAGGAAAATACAAAATGTTCCCGCAGAACTTGTAATTTTTTTCTTTTACATAGATCTGATTTACATATATTTATTATCTGTATTCATGTTGTATTTTATCTATACTATTAATATTTTTGTTACTGGTGAATTTACTACTTCTATTTAAATTATTTATATACATATAAAAATATAAACGCACAAAATGTATATTTTATACAATTTTGTTTTAAGGTTTTCACGGCTTTCCCATCTGTGGTCGGTAATTCGTGTATAGATTATCTAGATTCTCAAAATATGGTTTAATAGGAAACATTAAAAAATAATTCACGAATATGTTGGACCCAGTGGGAGTCTACCCCAAGGCCTGTTGCTTATTAGCCACACCTTACTATCAGCTTTTTATTGGAGTAGCGAAACCTTTTAAGTCTTAGATTCTAAAATCTAGTGCAAACATGGGATATGTGTTTTTACCTAACACTTCTATGTAACTACAAAGTAAGTGTATTGGATGAAGCTATCTATGAGTTTTAGTCGTACAATGTTTACCAATATTGATAAGAAAAGTGATGATATTAATATTTTATAATTTACAATGAAACTTGATTTATTGATATACTATATCATGAAACTATGATCAGAAACTATTTTGCATCCTTTAGATATGTAATTATCGCATTACCATCAAGTTAAAATCTAAATTAGTAACAACCATTATACCTATAAACAATCGCACATTGAACCAAACATATTTAACACATAAATTTGTCTGTCCTATACCCACTTTAGGATTCCGAATGTTACTTAGGTATATTTATTAAAACAACAGGGAGGGAGAACGTAAGTGGCAAATAAAAGGAAATGTTAGTAGATACACTATAAACCATCATCCGCGAATCTATAAATACGAGTACTAATTATACTTAAACATTGATAGTAGTAAATTCCATCTTTATATAAAGTTGATGTTAAATAGTGAATAGAAATCTTTGTGTACTGAATGTCGCTTCACTAAATTAAGCTATTGCTTTAAAATTATGAATTAAACTCAATACGTAAGGATAAAACATATTTTATAAACGCATAGGTAGTAATGTTTATAGGCCAAACACTTGCGAACCGCCGAGGTCAATCAGAGTCTAAAAATACAATACTTTTATTAAACGCACTTAGGCCTTGAAATTCAAAATAAGGACTTGGTTTAATGTGATTTTTGATTAATACAATTCATTTGGTTTGAGGCATTTAATTTTCGAAAATTTAACCCTCGTAAATAAAATTATATAATCTTAACTACGCACTTAATTAATGAAATTATTTTTATGTCGATTTAGTCACAAAATTGGATACAATAGTATTTACTAGAATATGGAAATTCCGTCCGTGTCACGAACCGCCATTCAGAGATAAAAAAAAACCGTGAAACTTAATCGCGTTTCGGTTCAGTCAGTGGATTTCCGAATATCGAAAGTCAAGATAGATCGACAACAACTTGTTTAGATGTCATATGGCTGGGGTATTTTATCAAGTGGATCTCGTGCTTGTCCGTCCTCCTCAATCACATAGAAGGGTGACAATTTCTAGAAACAACCTGGTGTTTGGAATTAGAAGGTGGAATTACCGCCGCGCCTCGGACAGTTCGGTAAACCGGCGGACCCTGTTACAATCTTTGTGTCGTTATAATTAGCACTGGGCAACGTAGTGGGTCTAAGGTCTAAAAACTCTTTCCTCTGCTAGAGGAATTCTTGTTTAGCAGGAGGACATTAATAGGTTGAAGCAATTGATTGTTTTTTTTATGTAAGGGTAGTTTATATTTTATAAATCGCAAAAAAGATGTTACAATCAGAGCTATAATCCGAAAATATATCACAACATACATTTTAATGGCTTTTTAATATTAAAATAAAAATAATTTAGCCAACACCAACGTATTTAAAATTAAATAATATTATTTATAAAATGGGTTCCAATTAACTCAAAAATAAGGCTGAGGTAGGACACCAGCCAGCTGTTATTGCGACAAGGATGACTAATGTTAGTAAGGAAACGGAAAATGGAGGAACACTAAAATATACCGAGGAAATAAAATTAACACTACGCCTGTAAAACGATATTTACACGAAATACAAAAATTAAATGTGTGTTAAATTGTTATCAGCATATAAGACAACCAATTTTCAAAATGTACATGTTTAAAGCGGACGTAATTTTGTGAAAAACTAATTAGTTTGGTATTGAAGTCCTAATTACAATAACAAACGAGGCATTGAAACGGGATCATTAACACTGTAGCAACCGTTCAACTATACAAAGTAGTAGGAATACGTTAGCATAGCGATCTTTATGTTTTAAATCTACAAAAAAATATTATTATAATGCAGCAAAGTGTTTTTTACTCATAAAAATTATTACAAAAACTGCATCCGTTTAAATTATTTTCTGCGTTGCTTTTCGTCTTTAACACCGACGCTGGCTTGACCAAAAGAATATTCTTTAAATTGATACTGTACGGTTTTAACTATTTCATTACTCATAAGTTGATATTTAAAAGTTTTTTTTCTTATATATCTTATGTCATATTCTATATAAAATGATTTAATTAATTAAGATTTTAGATAGAATATATATAATAAATTATTTTAATGTATAGTAAAGATAATAACGTATTGGTAATAATCAAGGAAATGAATAAAAATCAATAATCAATTTAAATTTTTGTAAAACATCTTCCACCTTGCTTTATCTGGATATTAAAAGGACTATTTTATTATAATAATTGGAATATTGAAATTCCGTCCTAATAACGAACCACAGTTCACAGATGAATAAAGTTTAACCATCATTGGTTCTTAAATTCCGAAATAAAAACATTTTCTGCTGACAGTGCATCTTATTGAGATGTTATATATGACTGCGGTGTTTCTCCTTCTATCAAACCTATGCGTGTCTGTCCTCTGATGTAAAAAAAAGTTTTTTTAAAACATTTTAACAAAAAATTTCTTTCCTCAAAAACATTACCATGTCATATAGCCATTATCCTTTAGTCTAAATTCAAGGCGCTTCATTAAAGCAGTTGGTCAGTGACAATGGATTTCTTTATGAATCATCATTTTCACAGAAGTAAAACGATCGATTTACCAAGTTCCCTTGGAGGACTGTACAAATAAGGCTAATAATCTATTGTATTTGCTGTAATTTGTCTAAGCTAAAGTATTTATTAAAAAAAATGCAAATATTTCTCAGCTTCCATTGAGGAAAGATACTGGATTTAATAAATATTTATTTTAATGTTAGGACAGTGGCGAGTTGTAATTATTTAAATAAATGCTACTAACTAGAAATAATTTTGTAAGTTGAACTATCAACGAGGGTGGGTCGGCAAGAAAAACAAACAAGGTAATGCCATAATTCGACAGACCAAAACTTCCACCAATGCAATTTGTCTGACGCGTTGATGTATTGGTGTCAAATTATAATCAAGGAGTCTTTGTTAAATCCTCATTAGCGTTTTGACGATTTAGGTTATAATTTTGAATACGTCTAACTATATACCACCCAAGGGGGTAGTATGATTAAAGAACTACCGCCGTATTTACTTGAATGTAATATTACTTGAAACTATGTACAAAACGTTTTAAGCACCTATCTAGTAGCAATAATAATTAATAGTATTAAAAATAACAAAAGATAAATTAAGAAAGAAAACATATAAATAATATAGCTTTACACGTTAACTATGTTTAAAAATAAACTGCCAGTTTATCTATAAATAAAGTGGCCTTGTATTTCAGAGCGTAATACCCTTTGGAAATTAAATAATTTTCATTGTTTTCGAGTTGTAAAAATATTTACGTGGCTGTAGCTTAAATGTGTAATAGTTATTATTAAGGAAACATCCGTTGTCTTATTCTCTTTAAAATATTATTTTCTTATTAGTGTTGTATATAAAAACCTATCCGATTTTTTTATTATAGACAGCTTTGAAGTAGGAAAATAAACGCTTGAAAGATCTCGTTTTAACACTGTAAAAGAGTAAAAGAAACATTATTGCTAAAAAGCATAATTTTATAAAAGTTTTACCAAATTATTTTCTGAAAAATTTTCCGCTGCCCTTTAATAGCAATAACAACATTTATAACTGAACAATGTTTGTATAATTTAGAAAGGCCGAAAGTGTATTAAATGTACTTATTGTTTATTTACAGCCAGCATTATAGACGTGGACTGTAAGTCGACAGTGACAGCGTGGACATCGATGAAGTAACCTGACAATTGACATGTTTTTTTTTCTCTAGACAATATTTATATATTTAAGTCGTAGGTT